AGCCACCCAGGCGCCTTAGAATAGCATATGTCTTAATATAGATCTTTTATTTCAGGAATCTTAACCAAGAGAACCATGCTTTTTCTTATTTTTTTTTTTTTTTTTTTTAAAGATTTTATTTATTTATTCATGAGAGACAGAGAGAGAGAGAGAGAGAAGCAGAGGGAGAGGCAGGCTCCCAAGGAGCAGGGAGCCCGATGCGGGACTCGATCCCAGGACCCTGGGATCACGACCTGAGCCGAAGGCAGACGCTTAACCATCTGAGCCACCCAGGCACCCCTTTTTCTTATTTTTGATATTTAGAGACATTTTCCCTAGAGTTTAGCCATATTGTCTTTTTTTGTATACAGGTGAAATTTCAGCTTTAAATGAAGAGCAGGAAGCATTGCTGTTGTTGAAAATGAAAACTAAATTTCTTTGGAATACCATTAATTGGCACATTACTTAGGTACTTTCTGTGAGGATGTTGCATTTTTAGCTCTTAATTAAGTTACTAGATCTCCTTAACAGGCATGAAAATAAATTAGCAGTATTCTCTGCAGAGCTGGCCAAAAACCAGCTAAGTATTTTGGAAGTACTGATACTGGATAGATATTTTGGAGGTACTCTTAGCAGTATTATAAAGTTACCTTATATAGTGTTATTTACAAATTTTTCTTTAATATAAATTGAGTGTGAAAAGTAACAGCAAAATATGAATAGACCACATGATGTGATACACTTGTGTTTTTAGGTTAGTGCTAAGATAACTTCACAGGCAGGGGCGCCTGGTTAAGTTGGTTAAGCGTTGGTTAAGCGACTGCCTTCGGCTCGGGTCATGATCCCGGAGTCCTGGGATCAAGTCCCACATCGGGCTCCCAGCTCAGGGGGGAGACTGCTTCTCCCTCATACCCTCTCCCCTCTCATACTGTTTCTCTCTCTCTCTCTCTCAAATAAATAAATAAAATCTTAAATAAAAAAAAAAGATAACTTCACAGGCATTTCTTACTTACTTGTTTATTCCCACAAAGGCACATACTAAATCATACTGAATATATGAGCAACTCATAATTTTCCCTCTAGAATGTTATGATACCTTTATTTAACTTTTAAAATTCTGAAATAAGGCCTGGTAAATGAGACTATGTTGAATATATGAAGATTTGATAATCTAGACCATATCTTTGTGTTTAATGTTTTTCTTATAAACTCTGAACATGCAGAGTGCTATATATAAAAAGTAGCTGAGAGTGTATTAAATGATACTATATAGTGTGTCCATTTTCTCTTATGTGCCATGCATCCACTCTCAAACATGATGTGCCTTCTAATACATAAATATTTAATGTAACTAATTGAAATGTGATTAAAATGAGCAGGTAGGCCTAATAATTTGAATGCAGTGATAAGATTTATCTATATAAACTTTCCTTTGCCCACATTCTTTTAAGGGATGATCTTCACTTTTAAATAGAGGAGTGGACTGTTGAAGATTGTGTGAACATGTAGATTTTTAAACTACTACTTGCCATCAGTAACCCTTCATTAATTACTGAAATGTTTGTTTCCATGTGTTAAAGAACATTTTATTACCTATAATTGCATTGCAGTCAGTAAGAAAAATAGAGGGATGTTGGATAACTTATCATTTTTCCTCTTCCTTCATTTTCTCTCCCCTGAGAGAGAGAGGCTTGTGTGTATCTTTATTTTGTGAAGGACAAAGAAGACAGAGTGAGGAGAGTCATAGGGTGTTATTATTAGAAGAGATCTTCATTTTACAACTGAGGAAACAAGTATGGAGAGGTGAAATACCTACATAGTAAAAAGCCATGGTACTTAGCATTTCCTTTCTTTTCTGAAGGTTAAAAACTTTTGGGGTTGGAAGAACTAGATCCTGTTTCAGTCTCTGCACAAAATATTCTGCAGAATCGTTCATTTTTCTTTTTTACCTTTATCAATATTCAGGTAAATTGCAGTAAAATTAAATGCTAATCCTGGAAGATAGTGACCCAGCATTTCTAGAGTATTATATTTAATGTTATATTTTCTTTAATTTAAAATACGTGCATGTCCATAGGAACCACACTGTGGTGTTCCCATTATGTTCAGGTAGGTTTTAGGTCACCTTCCCAAATATTTTCTTCCTTTGGAGGAAGTGTATTTTTTTATTATGCAGCATAGGCTACATTTCATTGCCATTTCTATTCTGAAGATAAAAAAAATGTAACACCAAGACGGTAAATAATAAAATTATTTTATTTGCAGTCCTTAAGTCATCCACACATTTTTCATAAAACTTTTTATAAACATTGTTAACCACTGTGGTTCTCCCAAGGAGAATTAACAGTAACAAATTATTTGATTTAAACCACAATCTGAATAATTTAAATAAGCTGAAATTAGTCAACATGTGATTGATATTCATAAATGAAAAGGTTGGCTGTCCTGTAGTAATCAATGCATAGCTACAGCTGGTTGAAGGGGACCAAATCCATTGAAGAGGCGATTTGGTTCCATTTTACCAGCTCTAGCAAAGCATTGCAGTGCTGCTAGTTTGGGATACAAAAGAGTTGAAATGCTTTTTATTTGTACAATTATGGTTATGGACTTTCTACAAATGTTAGATATTCTCATGTCAGTACTTCAGTCATTACATGTAAACTTTTCTATTTTAAAGGCACTTTTCCTACTATTTCCTTCTCGAACAGAGCAAGTCTTTGCCCTTTAACATTTTGTTGATGCATTAAGGAATTATCAGTGTACAGCTTTGCATAATTCTTAAATGTAGACAATAACCTGTTTTAAAACCAACAGCATTTGAAGAAACAAATAGACCTTGATGTATTTCAGAGTACTATTTTGTATTTATCTTTAGGCAGTGAACCAAGTAAGTATGCTAATAGGTTAGGGAAGAGTACTGGTAAGCTTTCTACCACTGCTCCTTTATTTAGTATTATACTTGAGAGCTAATAGCAAGTTCCTGATAGGGAGGGTGGAGGAATATGAGTGGCCTTAAGACAGTGCCTCTGCCCTTTGGTTTATAAATAGATCACACGTGTATTCAGTGTATTGCTTGGACTTGTGTTGAAAGGAACTACCATGCATGCCAACTTTTTTCTTTGTTTTTGCTTATGTAGTGTTACTAATCATAGGTTAGTAATTTAACCCTTTTCAATGTCTATTTCCCTGACTGAGTTCTCCATCATTTTGGGTACAGATTGCCTAGTTAGTTCCATTATCAGCTTAATAATACATGGACTTGTGGTGCATAGCTATAATCAATGAATTTAATTTAAAAATCTACTACATGAGTAATACTTTAAAAGTCAGTACAGCAAATGTTTGTTGTAATTTGATTTCATTGTTGCATTTCAGTATCAGGGAAGGGATACCTCCTTAAATATACTTGCAAAAATAAAACTTTGAGATATTATAGTTTGCCTATAAAGTAAGTGCTTTCAGTGAAATACAGAGTAAAGAAAGTTACTGTTTTGAATTAGACTGGGAAAAGGTCAGCACTAATTCAGGCAGTATTCAAAAAGTTCTCATATTAAGTATATTCTGCATCTGTTGGTTCGTAGTATCATGCTGCTGGTGAAATTAATGTAACTACAATTCTTTCCATATATTCTAATAGAAATGAAACAGGTGTTAAATTGCCTGGACTTAAGTGCTGAAGATAGCAATAAAACTGGCTTCTATTTTTACTAGTTATATGGGAGCTGTTTAGCAGATCCAGTTGCTCAAGTGTGCTTTTGGATGGCAGTTCAGTTTCATATACTGGCCATATCGGGGCAAGGAGAGGCCATGGAAAAAAAATAGTACAGCATTTGATAATGTCAGCATCTGTTATCCCTGTCAGAGAGACAGTTGAAATGTTTGAGTTACACCAGTGTCAGCAGATGCCCAGAGTTTACTATGTACTCAGTTAAAAATGAACAGCTGATCTAAGTGATGGATGTGACATTTTAGAATGACTGAAAAGACTCAGATATGTTCAGTTAAACTTGTAAGCACTAGAATCAGTATATAATTTTACTTTTTAAAATGAATAGCAGATGCTGTCATTTTATTTTCTGAGGATTATGTACTCTTAATATTATAGCAATGAGAATCTTTGTCACCAGGTTGTTTTAAAATAGTTATTAAAAACTTTCATGCCTAGAGAATAATGGATATAATTGTTCTACAATTTTATAATGCTCTATAATTTTAGAATGTTATAAAACATGAGTATAGTAATACCCTTTGAGTAGTTTTATAGAGGAACCTATACTTTTGAGATACATATTTTCAGTTATAACTGTAGTTGACCTTATAGCCATTTCTGTTCAACTTGGGACACATAAAAATTTTCAAATTATCATTATGCTTTTTATACACATCTGAATATTCCAGTTGAAATAATACTTTTAGTAAGAAATGATTAGAGTATATGAATATTAGTATTTCTTTTTTTCTAAGCCTATCATAGTAGCTTGAAACAGGTACTGCTTATAAAGTATTGCCAGCAGCTTTATTATTTATGATTTCTGTTAATATGTAAGTGTATATTATACAAAATAAATTTTGTATAAGGTACAAAAAAAGTATTATGATATCTCCAACACATTACAAATAGTGGGCCCTAACGTGTTTATAAAAATTGAATTGCTGTTGCCCTGTACCAGTGAAACATGATTATTCTGTCTGTGTAAATTGGTTTTTTGGCTATAGTGTTTTCATTTTATGTGCCCCTTTGGAGAAAGCAAATTCAAGGATAATATCGATAATAAATTAATTTCTTTTAAATATTTGGCCATCTTTTACCAGCGTGCCCTGTTAACCTACAATATGGCCCAGAATTTTGTCATTTTTCATGCATAAATCTTATGTTTTAATTTATTCTAAGTAAACAGTATTTATACAAAGCGAACACTAGATTAAGGACCTGATTAATTTGAGGACAACACTTTTTTTTGAGAGTAGAATGTTACTTAAAAGATAGTCTTTTCGAATTATGACTATGTAGCTTTCAAAAAGAAAGCTTAAAACAACAAAACTTGTTCAGAAATTCCTCTAATATTAGTAGACTATAAATTTATCAAACTATCAAGAACAATTGCTAAAATGTAATGACATCAGCTTTTGTTATACCTTGTTATTCTTAACAAATCAGTTAATCCTACTAATATGATATATACTTCAATTAAGATCATATTGTGGAGACAGAAAATAGGTCATGTGTATCCCTCACTCTTTTGTTCTAGTAATACTGATTTCTTTTCAGTATTCAAATTTTAATCATGTGAATACTTAATTTAAAAATGTAAAACATAGTACATTTTAAACTTAGAAGATGTAAAAGGAGTTTCTTGATAATTTTAAATCTCCTTGGTTGATTCTTCACAAAGTAGAAATCTTCACAGCATTTAGTTTCCATCTAAAAGTAGTAGGTACATTTTTATGGTGTTAGTATTGCCAAAGGTCATCTCTTTGATACTAGGTTAATTTACCATATGAAGGTCATTCACATAGAAAGAAGCAAGAGCTTCTTTTAGCTGCAGTGTAGTTCCCTCCTGGCAGTTTATTGCCTACCAAAAATACATACTTCTTTACATTCCATAGCATTGTATGTTCATATGGGTACATAAAGAAGTATGTACTCTGAGTAGGTTTTACTAAGTTGTTAGCTGTAAAAACATGAAATGTTTTATTTTCCCATTTGTTAGTAAAACATTTAGTTTACTGATACAGAGTAGTGGTAGATCATTGGCAGAGACTATCAAAGACTAAACTATAATAGATTTACCTGAAGCATGGCATTAGTGCCATTCATGGCTCCTTGTTCTTGGTGGACATAGATACGTCTAAACACTAACCAGTTATCTGTTGAACTTTGTCCTGGTCTGGTTGTTTTTGCAAGAGATTCATAGAATCAGTGGAGGTTTTACAGAGTATATTTCAGAAATTGGTAAGATCAGCCTAGTGTTTCTTCATTGTCTTCAGAGGAATTTCTTCTTATTTTGTAGTTTGCTTCTAGATCCTGCAGGTAGATAGTAATGAATTCAGTGCAAATTCTTTTTACAAACTAGATATCTTATTGAAAACTTAACCAGTTAACCAATTAGTACTTCTTCTGTTGAAAGAACAAGGAGAAAAGCTAGATCTTTTTAGAGTGTGAGTGAACTGAAGTTTTAAAGATGATGAATTTTTTGTTATTTTTTTTTAAAGGTCACAGATAAGGAACTCATGATTATTTGAGAACTTCTTTCTCGTTCCTTTGTCTTTATTAGTTACTTACCTGAATTTTGCATTTTGGTGCTTTTGTTTGGGTTGAATACACTTTCGAATAGATGTATAAATATCTAATTTTGGTGAGTTTGGTTCTTTTGATTCTTTAATTTTTTTGGTATAAAGGATCACTACCAGAACAGTCTTTTCTAAAGTCTCACTGAAAAGAATTTAAAGGTGTTAGCCTGTGACACCAGGGTCTGCACTTGATCATTTAGCTTGAAAAGACATTATAGTTGGTGAGTTGCCTTTAATTATTGTGGTATTAAAAGGTTAATTAAAAGAACACCATAAGAAATTTTCAGATTCGGGAAAGGAGAAAACAAAAAGGTAGGGAAAGTCGAATTTCTGCAGCCCGTGATAAAAAGTTGGTGAAGCTCAGAGAGAGCAAATCAGAATGTAGCAGTAGATGGCCCAGCACTACAGCAGTTTCAGCAGTGCAGTGTTAGGATTTACCATGCACATTCTGATTTATTTTTGTGACCAACTAAAAGTTAGCATTAAGTATTTTGTGATCTGCCAAGTCTCTTGGTTGACTAAACCTTGAAATAGACAGTTAATAGTTTTTAAAAGGTAGCGTACTTTGGAAGCAGGATGTGATTTACTAAGGATGCAAAATCATTATTTAATCTGAAACAAAGACTAAATCTTCAGTAACATCAGTGACAGTAATGGATTTGTACATTTTTGAGATCAAGAATTATCTGCCAGGATACTTGAACAACATTCCTTTTTACGCTACATAAGCTATCTACTTGAACTATGAAATTAGGCAATGCCCAGATAGACTTTAACAATAGAAGCATGTATCGAGTCATAATAGGTAAGCATGCAGAAAGTCATAAGTATCCTTAAAAGTGCAGGCGTTATGGTGTTGTTACCTGTAAGTTTAGTGCCATGCAGCTTTTGCAGGAGGAAGAGAGATAATGACCTAGAGAGTCACATCAGCAGCTGCCATCTCCTCTTGATCGGTCCTTCACTCTATTCGCTGATTCAGCACTTCTTTCCATGAGCCGAGGGAAGCAAAGGGCCGTATCAGTGAACACAGAACCCCACCTTTTAAGATACATTTGAAAAACAAATGAACAAACAGAAAAACCCAAAAAAGCCATCTTTTCCCTCTCCCTTCCCTTTGCCTTAAAAAAAACAAACAACAAAACTGAATCAAAGTTGGCCATTTGATTTGGAAGGTCATATTACCAGTATTGCACAGATATGAGTACCTTGTATCTGCTGTACAGAAAGTTAAGCAACCAAGAAAGGTTGGTATAATGGCCAAGAAAATGAACTTTGCTTATTTTCAGATAAAATGCTTCAGAAGAGGGCAGAAAGTTGCAAAGGAAGTTAATTTTATAATCTAAAAAAAACAAAAAGCCAAAAACCAAAACACACCTCACTCCCCCCAAGTAACTGTAAACATTCACCCTATTTTCTTTTGCCCACCAGAATACATTAGGTTCTTCTGACTTCTCAGGAAATATTCTGTATCTTTCTTGCTGTGAAGTTGTTTTTTTGGTTTTTTTTTTTTTTTTTTTTGATTTGTTTTTGGTTTTTAGTTTCCAGGATTAATTGGTAGATCTGTAGTGAAGCCACCTTGTCATATCCAGAGGTCAAGTCTGCAAGGAAGGTCAGGACTTCCCCATGGTCACTACAGAGGTTAACTTATATTCTTCTCTCAGTGGCCACGGGCTAAACTGTTACAGCTTTATAGGCAGCTAAGCATTTGAAACATGCACTCCCAGGCAAACAGGCTCTCTTGTGCCTCTCTCTTCCCTGACCATATTTAGTCAACCATAGCAAAAAATAGTCTCTCAGCTGTCGATTGTCGATCCAAAAGTGGAGGAAGCTTCTATCTTGCTTTCTGCCTATTGATTGTTCATCCTGCGGTCCAAACACTGCTTTGCCATTTGTTCTGCCCCCCCCCTTTTTTTTTAAAGCACTGCCAAATAAAGCGGTCTCTCATGTTTCCACTTACATTTCCCAGATTTTCACTGAGCTTGCGCTGAGACCAGGAAAGCCTGATGCGGCTGTCACTATACTTAGAAGCACTGCAGAGGAAAAAAGGAAAGAGGAAAAATATTACCCTGGCTAGTTGCAAGGCAGTCTTTAGACAGACCTGGAACAAGTAAAATCCCTCTGCTGCCAAAATATATTTCATAACCTAATTTTTTGTTAGTAAAAAATATTATGGATGATGATATTTTACATAACTAAAGGCCTGAAGAGATTTTGCAGGGTTATCTTTAGAGCTAGTTGTTGCTACACATGCTTTTTAAATTTAAGGAATAATATTTGAATGGAAAATATGTAGAAATGGTAAGTAGAACCTATGTATTAAAAATGGAGAGAGATCATTAAGGAAGAAAAGAGTAGTGTGTAAATGAAATCTTGGAAAAATGCTACTTAAAACTTTTAATTCAATGTCAGTTTCAGTTATTTTTTTATAGTGCTTAGATGAGAAATGGTCCGGAATGCTTTTGAGTAATTGTGTACTTTTATATTGAAACTATACATACAGAACTATTATTATTCCTTACTATATATTACATACAGAACTACTATTAATAACATTTTTATTCTATTTCATTTTTCAGATGCAAAGTATTTTTTTCCCTTCTTTTGACATTGCCATTCCTTTTAAATTTTTTGAAATAACATTTAGGCATGATCATTTCTACTTTACCAGAGACTATGAATTAGTCATTAATCTGATCTATAACATTTCTACTTTACCAGAGACTATGAAACAGTCATTAACCTAATCTATAATGAAGCATAATACTATATGCTTCAAAGGAAAAAATACTTTTGCTCTAAATTTTAATAGCATATTCACAATAAATGGTAAAGTTGAAATTTTTTTTAACCAAGGAGAAAAGAATATTATAACATCAAATCTAATGTAATTGTGGAGATACAGTTTTAAGATTTTACAAATCTAAAAATGCCCAAGAGAAGCTTTGTTCTTCCCTAAACCAAATCTATACCTTGTTCTTAATTCAAATACAGTATTCTGTTAAGTATTGATTCAATTAAGAATCAAGAAAAACTCTTACCAGTTTTTTAAGCTCAGTCTCCTACAAGGGAAGTTTGTCCTTGATATTCTTTTTGTCTTTAGCATTTAATACCATAGCAGGTGAATTATTTTGGATGACTCTTTTAAAGCAATGACATGAAGAGTGCTTCTGTGGACGTTTGTCAGTTTTGAAGAGCCAGCTTTCCTAGATATTGGAATACTTTTACACATATTGTGAGAAGATGACACCTGTCTCAGTTTAAGACAGGGTAATTTTCAGGTTTCTAAATCGCCTCATTTTTTTCTAACCATTTTGTAGCAGTGAAAGGTTTTTTTGTTGTGGTTGTTATTGTTTTTTTATTTTTATTTTTTTTAAAGATTTTATTTATTTATTTGACAGAGAGAGAGACAGTGAGAGAAGGAACACAAGCAGGGGGAGTGTGAGAGGGAGAAGCAGGCTCCCCGCTGAGCAGGGAGCCCAGCGCGGGGCTTGATCCCAGGACCCTGGGATCATGACCTGAGCCGAAGGCAACGCTCAACGACTGAGCCACCCAGGTGCCCCTGTTTTTGTTTTTAAAAGCAAATGTATAAAGTGCTGGTACTCTTCTAAACCCTTTTAAATTTTCATAACAACTTCTTTGAAATAGAATCTGTGATTCTTCTCACATTTTATAGATGAGGAAACCAAGGCATAGAAGTTAAGTAACTGCTAAAGTCACCAGCCATTCACTTTGCTAATGCCAGAATTTGAACCCAGATAGTTTGGCTTCAGACTTTGAGCTCTTTACCACCACACCATGCTCCTGCTCTGGTTTGTAATAATGAAACCAGTTAGGGAATTACCACTCTTGGGGACTTAAGAATATACCAGAAATTTAATAGGTTGCTAAATCCTCGCCTCCATTATATTCAGAAATGATTGTTCATTTGATTGTTTCTTCTTTTGTTCCATTCAACAAAACTTTGAGCTCCTTTTACTAGGCATACAAAGGGGACATAAAGATAAGTAAAACAGGGCCCTGGTTTAAACATAGAAGGAGAAATAAGAACTGATTGGTCATTTAAGAGATCATTTTGGTTGTCTTTAGTTTAAGAAAACTTGAGTACTCAGCTATACAACTCTTCTGCAGTCTGAATTGTTGCATATCTCTTTCTCATTTTGAGCTAAATTCTATATCCAAATTCTTACTTAACAAAATTAGGCTACATTAACAAGCCTTTTAATTGTGGTATCTGTCAAAAAAAAGTTTGGTGGGGGGGGGGGGATAAAAGCACACCAAAAAAAGAATTTAAAAACATCTAACTAATATCTATTCACTAGCTATAAGTAGATGAAAGAAAATAAAAACCAGCTATATTCATTTATTAAAGTGATGACCATGGATAGCATCTGGGTGTGTATCTTCCCAGGCTTCTTGTCTGCATCCATTCAGATGGGGGTAGGTATCGAACAAAAATATGTTTAGAATATCACATACTGATCTGCTTTTAGTATGCCCTGAAGAACTTCTGCTTGGGATTGATCAGCTTTCTTAGTAGGTTCCTTTATGAATTCTGGACTGACAGGCTTTATTAGCTTTATTATTTGAGGGATTGTTCATTAACTTAGCAAGCATTTAGTGATCTAATTTTTTTTTTACATTAATATGTAAGACCTCCACAGTTTATCTACTTGGGTTTGTTTAGAAAAATGTTGCCTATCTCTGAAGAAAGTTTGTAAAGCATGGCAGGCCCTAAAAATGGACCCAGTGCCATTTGACTGCTACATACCAATGTAGACAGCTGCTTGTCCCTCTACTTCTTAGAACTCATTTGTTCATCATTCAGCAAACGTTTGAGTATTACCAAGTGCCAGGGATTATACTAGGCACCACTATTAGTTGTTCCGGAACTTAATGCTTCTTTGGCACTCTTCACAAATGCCTGCTTAACTGGTAGCAAGATCTTATCTTTAAACCATCCATGTCCTTAACCTCTTGGAAAACAACCAGATTGAGAACTAAAGAAGAGTGTTTGGGCATTAGGGAAAATACCGCCAAATCTCATGTACTGTGCTCCACAGGTGAGAGCCTGTTGACTCAATACAATTATTGATGTGCCAAACTGGTAACGCCCTGATCCCAGCAGCCCTGTGGGCCTGAGTACTTACAGCCTAGGTCTCCTCTTGAGGAACGACAGCGCTGCAGGGGACAGCCGGCAGCAGCATGCCTGGTTGGACTGTGGGCGCCTCAGATTGTCCACCCCACGTAAGTGGGACTAATTAACAGAATGGATTGGTTCTGAAGTGAAAACTTGCTCTCTGAAAATCTGAATTTTGCATTTTAGTATTAGGATTTGATGGACTTTATAGAATGTTATCTAGAAGGGACTGGGATCATTTTTGTCACTTCTGACAGTAGCCTGGAATTACCATCTTTCTTTTGCTCTTATACTTCAGTTACTCATTTTGTACTTAGAGGAAAAGCAAAAAGATAAAAGATAGTGAGAGATGGCAGATGGCAGAGGGCTTTCAGGAATACATATCTATTTCTGTTTAAGTACCTCACTAACCTTCTGAGCCATTGGCTCTTCTTTCTGAGAGACTTCAGCTTTCTCTAGCTTTTTCACTTAGGAAATGCAAAAGCCCAGAACAAGTTAGTGAATGGCTCCATCTCAGTGGATAGCTTATGCCCAGAGAAGGAACTGCTCCTCTTTCCCTTTCTTTCGAGTTGTTGGCAGCATAATATGGGAAGGTACTTCTGAAACAGGAATGCAAAGTAGTGGGAAACATGGTTTCATTAAGAACCATCTTCTCAAGGATATCTATTCAATAATGTGACTTAAAAAAAAAAACTTGATGAAATTAGCATGAAACCACACCTTATAATGTAAAACTTACTGTCATATTTATATATCTTGGCTATAAGAACTAAAGTAGCAAATTTAAAAGATTTTAACATAGTAAGCCTAAATATTATTTTAGTGTTTTGACTTAAATTTTTTAAATCTAATATATATGCATAAGTAAATCAAATACTACTGCAAAGCTTATAATAAAAGAGAACTATTTTCTGCTTTATCCCTCTTCATCCCTTTGTTCCCCCTACACCCCTCCCCCAATAACTTCCAGCTTGTCCTGTAGTTTTCCTAATGCATCAATTGTAGATATTATCTACTGATTTCATGTCATGAGAAATGAAGATTTAAAGCTATTGACATCATCTATTACCATTTCTCTCAACATAATCCTATCACAGTTTTTGTTTAAATCAATGTGTTTACATTATTATCTTATAATTACATTTTTTTTTACTGAAACTTTTTTTCCACATGATTTAATACTTACATCTTCTAAACTCTCCAAAAGAATCATAAAACCCTTATAAATTCCATTTCTCACATGGTCAGATGTGTAGAGTGCTAGATAATGTTTGGCATTGGCATCATGATAATGCCAAATCCAAACATTCAGTAATACAGTGTGGTACTAGAAGTTTTCCCCATTAAGAATCTGAGGCAAAGTTACATAATATCTAGTATCTCTCTCTCTTTTTTAAAAGATTTTATTTTTAAGTAATCTCTTCACCCAATGTGGGGCTCGAACTCACAGCCATGAGATTAAGAGTCACATGCTCTACCAACTGAGCCAGCCAGGTGCCCCAATATCTAGTATCTTATTTTAATCCGGTGAAGGAGGAAGATTAGAATCCTTGTAATTACTGTAAACGAACTAAAGCAGGAAACCTGAGCTTTGTATGAGGTCTGCGAGTGGGATCTAGGGGTTTGTAGCCTCTCAAAATTGTGGGCAGAGCTATATAATGTGCATTTCTCTCCATAGTTTTCCATAGATTTCCAAAGAATTCTCTCACCCCTAAGCAGTGATTATAACTTTAGTAACAGCCACTGAAAGTTGTCTTTAAGCTGTGATTCTCAATATATTTTGGGTATATAGCTCCCCCTCCCTAACGCCATACCCCCCTCCCTTCTTGCAACCATCAGTTTGTTCTCTGTATTTATAGGTCTGATTCTGCTGTTTATTCATTTGTTTCTTAGATTCCACATATAAGTTAAATCATATAGTATTCTCTGTCTGACTTGTTTCACTTAGCATAGTATCCTCTAGGTCCATCCCTGTTGTCACGAATGGCAAGATCTCATCCTTTTTATGTCCAAGTAATATTCCATTATATATATACACCACATCTTCTTTATCCATTTCGTCTATCAGTGGACACTTGGATTGCTTCCATATCTTGGCTATTGTAAATGCTGCAGTGAACAGGGGTGCACATATGTTTTTGAATTAGTGTTTTTGTTTTCTTTGGGTAAATACCTGATAGTAGAATTATTGGATCATATGATATTTTTATTTTTAATTTTTTGAGGACCCTCCATACTGTTTTCCACAGTAGCTGTACCAATTTATTTTCCCACCAACAGTACACTAGGGTTCCTTTTTCTCTACCTTCTCACCAGCATGTTATTTCTTGTCTCTGATTTTAGCTATTCTACAAGGTTGTAAAGTGATTTCTCATTGTGGTTTTGATTTACATTTCCCGATGATTAGTGATGTTGCGCATCTTCTATGTGTCTGCTGGACATCTGTATGTCTTCTTTAGAAAAATGTCTATTCAGGTCCTCTGCCCATTTTTTAATCAAATTGTTTGTTTTTTTTGGAGTTTAGTTGTATAAATTCTTTATATATTTTGGATGTTAACCCTTTATCAGATATATCATTTGCATATATCTTCTCCCATTGAGTAGGTTGTCTTTTGTTGATGGTTTCCTTTGCTGTGCAAAAGCTTTTTATTTTGAAGTAGTCCCAGTAGTTTATTTTTGAAGAAGTATCTCTTCTTGATAATTACGTCTCCTGCTCTTTTATGCTTTAATCTTTGATGGTCTTTAGGATAACTGTCTGTCTTGCTCTGGAAATATTTTGTTATCCTTAAATTTTAAATATTAAATTATAATTACCATTTTACATGTTTTGGTATCAACTAGATTTAGCACTGCTAAATGACATATATCAGATTTTTAACTGCAATTCATGATAATCTACCAGTTACATGAAATTTGTCTTTTTATTACTATTATTCCTACTTCGTTGTTGTTACCTGGCTGTTCTTTATTAACTCTTTCATTAATAGATACTATTCAAATTGAACCTAAGAGTTTCCACAAAACCATAAATATGTCCTCGTTTGGATATATTTCTTTCCCCTTTGGTTTTTTTTTTCTCTCATAATGTTTTCCCCTTGTAATACTCCTATTCTAGTTTGATTCTATTCCCCAAATGGTGATAGTTTGTTTACCTCTTTAAGCATCAAAAAGCTGCACATTAGAGATTTAGAAAAAAATACAATTCATTTGTCTCTGAGGGCATAATTTTCTTTAAAGAAGGATGTTTTTTATTTCAAAAGTTTCCTTGACATATTTTTTCTAAAGAAAATAATGAAATATTTAATTAAATATTGAATTATGTAAATATCAAAATCATATAAACTTGACTTTCAGTGCAATGCGTGTTTTACTATCTAAATTACCAAGACCATGGATTGTGGATGAGAAGAAAGATGATGGTTATACTGCCTTGCATCTGGCTGCCCTTAACAATCATGTAGAAGTGGCCGAACTGTTGGTACATCAGGTAGGAAAAGCTGTGCCATAATATTGCCATTCATTCATTTATTACTTCATCAACTACCTGTTGGTAGGTTATGGTAAAACCCCAAGATGATGCAAATTCAGATATGGTACCTATTCATTCTGCCTAACACTGGTTTGTGTGTGTGTGTCTGTGTGTGTAAGGGGGTGGAGGGTATCCTTTAGCCCTGTGTGTGTGTGTCTGTGTGTGTAAGGGGGTGGAGTGTGTGTGTGTGTGTCTGTGTGTGTAAGGGGGTGGAGGGTATCCTTTAGCCCTGAGTATTCCCTCCTACAGTGTTCCTGGATTGGTCTGATGAAATAGGCATCAACAAACAGAGATTTTCCAGAATCACTGCCACTGTTGTGTAAGTATCCATTAGCCATAGGACCAAGAACCATTATGTTGGTATCTAAGCTTGTGTGGCCAACTGCCATCAGGTAACACCAGGCTGCAGCCAGGATCTGGGGATTCAGGTCATGACCACTGCTGGACTCCTGGAATCTTGGCTGGATAGCAGCACAGGTTCACCTCAGTCATTTCATTCATCTCTGAAATAAGATGACGTTATATTTTTATGAGATTGGATCTTGGGGGAACTTATTTCCTGTAGTTTTATGATGTTTTAGTTTTTCAGCAAAAATTTTAAATACATATGCCATAGAGAAGCACTGAAGTTACCAAAGAATTATCTGTGATCTCTTGACTTCAAGGAAGTTACATTCTAAGTTAAGAAGATGAAATAGCAGAAAAATTTAGTAAATTGTTCATTATGTGTAATTAGCATCACATTATAGGATAGACACTCCATGAACTATAGAATTCTAGTTTAGATAAAAAAAATAGTTCAAAAGTTAAACTGTTTTCCCCTGCCATTTTAAGGCATAATTTTTATTATTTTTTTATTGAAGTATCGTTGACACACAATGTTACATTAGTTTCAGGTATACAACACAGTGATTTGACAATTGGAATTCTATTCATTATGCTCTGCTCACCACAAGTGTAGCTGTCATCTGTCACCATACAATGCTATTACAATACCATTGACTAGTAAGCCTTTATTATTAAGTTACTGCTCTTAGAAGTATTAATTGTGATAATTTCCTTTTCAATCCAAAATACAGATAACTTACGTTATGCCAATATCACACTATCTTGATTATTGTTTTTTAGTAAGTCTTGAAATCAGTTAAAGTCCTCCAACTTTGTTCTTTGTTCTTCTTCTCAGAATTACCTCAATATTTTAGATCTTTTGAATTTTCCTATAAATTTTAGAATCAGATTATTAGTTTCTATTAAAAAATCTTGGCATTTTGTTTGCTCTGCACATTTTAGATTTGTCTTTTTTTTAGATTGATCTTTAAGTAGTTTTTTCATGCGATTATAAGTTGTAGTGTTTCAAAGTTCAGTGTCTGTATATTGCAAACATAGAAATACAGTTATTTTTTGTATGTTGACCATATTTCCTGTGATTTTGCTTTGATTACCAGAGATCATTAGGGGATTAGAAATTACAACCACAGTGAAATACTACTAATCTACTACTACTACCTACCAACGAAAATGACGAAAATTAACCAAATGTTGGTTAGGGTGTGGTGCATTTAGAATTCACATACATTGCTGGTGTTTTCCAAAGCAGCCATTTTGAGAGCAGTTTGGCAATTCTTAATAAAGTTAAACATGTATTTACTGTACAACCCAGCACCCCCCCTTCTATTGTACCAAAGAGAACATTTCCACACAAATACTTGTACTAAATATTTGTAGCAGCTTTATTTGTAATAACCTCAAACTGGAAGCAAGCCCAATGTTCACGAACTAGTGTCTAAATAAACGAATTATGGTACATCATACAGTGAATACTACTTTGGAAAATCTAATAATGGAAAAGTTCAGGAAACTTAAAAAGAAAATCCCTCATTTTCTGTATCTATGAGAAAAGGCATGATAAGAAAACAAGCTGAGATATAGTTCTTCATGATGACACCCAGAGAAACATAAATAATAAAGACAAATCAGAAACTCCCATCTTCTAGAATATGTCGTAGCATTACTGGAGTTTCAGCTCTACCTAACACCCCGAGCAAGGGCACAGGTGGGGTTTCAAAGTTGTCTTTAGAGGGCATGAATAGTTCGAAGATGTAAACAGAATAATAAAGTTTATCTTCTGAATTTGTAGCCCTTTTCTTAGCTTCATTTTTTAAATTATTATGCAAGACATTGTATAGGGCAGTTTTACCTGTTATTTTTCTTAATCCTTCCTGGAGGGAAGGAAAATTTTTTCTTTCTTCCCTTCTAGGTTCTTTGGCTAGTCTAATAATTAAATTGACATGAGATATAACAACAAGAGAAAAACACATTTAATTTTGTACATATGGGAGCTCAGAAAAATAGGAGACTATCTAAAGTGACCAAAGCTGGCAGCTTTTATACCTTTTATTTTTATTTTTTTTTAAAGATTTTATTTATTTATTTGAGAGAGAATGAGATAGAGAGAGAGCATGAGAGGGGAGAGGGTCAGAGGGAGAAGCAGACTCCCTGCTGAGCAGGGAGCCTGATGCGGGACTCGATCCCGGGACTCCAGGATCATGACCTGAGCCGAAGGCAGTCGCTTTAACCAACTGAGCCACCCAGGCGCCCCGCTTTTATACCTTTTAAACAAACAATTATTTGTGGAGAATTCACAAAGGGGTTTGTGCTTGGGGTAGCAAATAAATAAACGAAGTAACAAAGTTTATTTATACAGTCAGTTCTTGGCCCTTAATTCCTTATCTCTGGTAATAAGGATGCCTTCTACCCTCCAAGTGCAGGGAGGATAGTCTTCACAGAGAATTTATTTCCTGCTTTCAGGGGAGCAAAGGAAGGTCAGAGTGTCCTTGCACTGGCGGTTTCTTAAGTAACTTTAATTCAAAATAATCAGTATTCCAAAGTGGCATTATTTTGGGGCAGCCCCCCTGAAGCCCATCATCACAATAACCCTGGCAATAGGTTGTACTATGACCGTGTTAGAGCCGAGGAAATGAGCATGATGTGGCAGAATCCTTGCTTAAGTTCTTGAAGCTCCAGGTCCCTTGGTGCCAGTGAGTTCAGAATTTTGCTTCTCAGTTCCTTTCCTCTGTCCTTGGCATCAGCTGTTCTCATATAGTGCTTTGACTATCCCAGGACCCTGGTAGGACTTTCTGCTTTCCCTTTAATAGGTATTTTTACGTACTAATTAATTAAACATTGTCTTCTCACCCTCCAGCAAAGTTCCTTTTCACTGAATAAGAGCTCAGTCACGCAGCAAGAGTAGGTGACCTTATTAGGTCATTAAAGTAAATCTAAATCCAGTAAGAAGACTCACTAATAGAACTTTTTAGGAAATTTCATTTACAGTCAAAAGGAAATAATTACCTCTTACTGTATAATGGAGATTGAGATGGAGCTGTGTTTGAGCTCTGTACTGAACTTTGTTCTTTAACTGTTCCTATATGGAGTCACTATAATAAATAATTATTGTAAACGTGCTGTTCTAGCTCAGAAAGTTTGCTGCCCCGTCCAGTTTTTGCTGTATTGCCAGCAACTGTTACGAGAACAGTGTTGCGGTAGCTGGAAGAGAGGAAGGTGGTCAACAGTGTTCTGTGTTACTTACTCCTCATGAAAAGTTATAGCTGTAGTGTTCACAGTTGTCAAGTTTTGAGTACGTAAACTTTGTTCTTCTCGTTCAGGGTAATGCTAACCTGGATGTCCAGAATGTGAACCAGCAAACTGCCCTGCACCTTGCTGTTGAACGACAGCACACCCAGATTGTGAGGGTAAAGTATTTACTAACAAGAATCTTACCTTATAGTTGTGTTTCAACCAGACGGATTTCTAGAAAGTCTTGAAAATTACTCATGGTTAGATTTTTCAAAAGACATAGTTGGACCTAAAAGTTATGATTTTAGGCTAATATTTTGCATCAGTTGGGTAAAGAGTTCTAATTTATAATAGGGAAAATCTTAAAACTGTGATACTCAGAGACTATTGTATAATTGTTGCCAGACTTGTGACTTCCCAAATATTAAATCAGAGAATTTCAAAGTAACATATAAATTGGATTTTTGAAAGCACATTCCCTCTTAATTTGTATAATTGAGAGTGAACTATAATTAAAAGCTTAGGCTGGACGTTTGCTGCACAGATTCCAAAAAAGCTGAAATATGTATTTTTATTTGACTAATCTGATATTCCAGAGACAATATTTGAAAGATTATCGGTTTAAAATTTTTTTGTAGAGCAGTGATTCTTAAAGTTTAGAAGCTGAACCAGCAGCATCAGCATCACCTGGGACCTTGGTAGAAAATTCTTGGGCCCCACCTCAGACCGACCAAATCAGAACCTCCAGGGGTGGGAACTAGCAATCTGTGGTTTAACAAGTCCTCCAGGTAATTCTCATGCATGTTAAAATTTGAGAAACACTGTCCTAGAGTGACATTTTATGTAAGCTTTTGGGAACAAAGTTGAAAAAAACACCACTGAAAAATGGTAATTTGCCAAGAGAGGTAAGACCATATGCTTGAGATTGGCTTCTGTTTATGGTGTTTTTCTAAAACTCTGACAGCATTTATAGAAAGGATTAGGAAAATCAGTAAAACACCGTTAACTAAAGTCTTAAATATAAAGTTATATTTACTATTTAAAATATCTTTGAGGTGTATCAGTTATGCATTTTATATGTAGTTTAGCAAACCCTTCACATATATTGTTATATAAAATTCCTCTTGCTCAAACTGAGGGTTGCTGGAGGGGAGGGGGGTGGAGGGATAGAGTAACTGGGTGATGGACATTAAGGAAGGCATGTGATGTAATGAGCACTGGGTATTATATAAGATTGATGAATCACAGACCTGTACCTCTGAAACCAATAATACATTATATGTTAATTAATTGAATTAAAATTTAAAAAAATTTAAATACTAAAAAAATAAATAAAATTCCTCTTGCTAAAAATTATTCATTTATCTGTGATATTTGGACTTTTTATGACTGTACATTTGGAAAAATTGACCAAAGAGGATGGAATAAATAACTTGCTTGTTTCTTCAAGTAATAGAAGAATTGTGAACATTTATGATTTGGTCCTATTGGAAGTACTTAAAATATCCCAACTTGCATATCTGAAATTCAAAGGAGAAAAAGGGGGCGCATGGCTGGCTCAGTCGGTAAAGCATGCAACTCTTGATCTTGGGGTTGTGAGTTTGAGCCCCACATTGGGTGTAGAGATTACTCGACAAAATCTTTTTTATTTTTAAAGATTTATTTATTTATTTGAGAGAAAACGAGAGCGTGAGCAGGGTGGGGAGGGGCCAGGGGAGAGGGAGGGAGAGTCCTAAGCAGTCTGGGCACAGAGCCCAATGCAGAGCTTGATCTCATGATCCTGAGATCACAGCCTGAGCTGAAACCAAGAGTTGGATGCTCAACTGACTGTGCCACCGAGGTGCCCTGAAAAAATAAAATAATTAAAAAAATAAAATAAAAGGAGAAAAAAATGTCCTAAATTTCTCCTAGTTATCTTTTTCTTAGTAGAGTTGATGAATTAGCCACATACTGGTTCTCATTTCTTTCTGTTTTCTCTGATTTGATATATTTGAGTAACCAGAGCTCATCACTATTTGTAAAGGAGCCACAGGAGTTTTAAGAGTAGCAAACGAGGGCACCTGGGTGGCTCAGTTGGTTAAGCAACTGCCTTTGGCTCAGGTCATGATCCTGGAGTCCCTGGATCGAGTCCCGCATCGGGCTTCCTGCTCGGCGGGGAGTCTGCTTCTCTCTCTGACCCTAACCCCTCTCATGTACTCTCTCTCATTCTCGCTCTCTCAAATAAATAAATAAATCTTTAAAAAAAAAAAAAAAAAGAGTAGCAAATGAATACATAAAGATAATTAGCTTTAGTGGCAGTCGCTTCAGGTGGGCCCAGGGCTCTGTCACTAGTACTTGATCTTATTTTATTTTATTTTATTTTATTTTGTTATTAATTAACATACAGTATACTAATAGTTTCAGGGGTAGAGTTCAGGGATTCATCAGTTGCAAATAACACCCAGTGCTCATTGCATCACATGCCCTTCTTAATACCCTTCACCCAATTACCCCATCCCGCCATCCTCCTCCCTTCCAACAACCCTCAGTTTGTTTCCTATAGTTAAGAGTCTCTTACAGTTTGTCTCCCTCTCTGATTTTGTCTGTGTTACTTTAGATATGTAGTAATTTCTTATGGGCCAGAGAGACCTTAGCAAAATGAGATGTCTTTCTCTTTTAGCTTTTGGTCCGTGCAGGTGCCAAATTAGATATTCAGGATAAGGATGGGGATACTCCTTTGCACGAAGCTCTGAGGCATCACACCTTGTCTCAACTACGTCAGCTCCAAGATATGCAAGATGTGGGGAAGGTCGATGCTGCATGGGAGCCATCCAAAAACACAGTGAGTAAAATAATCTTTAATTCAGTACTACTGGAAGTATCTTCAATGCAAGATCTTGTATTTTCGGTTAATTTAATCTGTTTCTGATAAAATATTTATCAGAGCTGCATATATGTAGAAATTTAGTTTATGGACTAAGTAATAGTTAATTCTGATTATATTGCTTCAAATTCTTACTGAAAGTTGTTTGGTTCTTCTTTTTTAACTTTAGCCATTCATATGGGTGTGTAGTGGTATGTTGGGGTTTTGATTTGCATTTCCCTAATGACCACTGATAAATTTTTTTAAAAAATTATTTATTTTTGAGAGAGAGCGAGAGCACGAGCACAAGCAGGGGGAGGGGCAGTGGGTGAAGCTTATTGGGCAGGGAGCCCGATGCGGGACTTGATCTCAGGACCCTGGGATCATGACCCCAAGCTAAAGGCAGGTGCTTAATGGACTGAGCCATCCAGGCACCCTGATTTTTTTTTTTTAAAAGATGTTATTTATTTATCTGAGAGTGAGTGAGAGAGAGAAAGCACAAATGGGGGAGGAGCAGAGCGAGAGGGAGAAGCAGATTTCCTGCTGAGTAGGGAGCCCAATGTGGGGCTTGATCCCGGGACTCTGGGATCATGACCTGAGCCGAAGGCAGACACTTAACCGACTGAGCCACCCAGGCACCCCAGTGACTACTGATATTGAACATCTTTTCATTTGCTTGTTTGTCACTCACATATATTTGATGAAGTGTCTATTCACATTTTTTGTGTATTGTTTTGTTGAGCTGTTTTCTTACTATTGAGTTTTGAGAGTCTGAATTCAAGTTCTGTATCAGATATGGGATTTGCACCTATTTTCTCCCCATCTGTGGCTTGTCTTTTCATTCTTTCAGTAGTGTTTTTGGAAGAGCAGAAGTTTTTAATTTTGATGAAGTCTAATTTATAAATTTTTCTTTCATTGTGCTTTTTGTGTCCTATCTGAAAAATCTTTGCCAAACCCAAGGTCACTAAGGTTTTCTCCTCTTTTGTACTAGAAGTTTATTAAGTTTTAGCTGTTACAGTTAGGACTGTGATTCTTTTTTTTTTTTTTAATTTGAATTCAAGTTAGTTAACATATAGTGTATTATTAATTTCAGAGTAGAATTTAGTGATTCATCAGTTGCAAATAACACCCAGTGCTCATTACATCAAGTGCCCTCCTTAATGCCCATCACCCATTTATCCCATCCCTCCACTCCCTTCCCCTCCAGCAACTCTGTTTGTTCTCTATAGTTTGAGTCTCTTGTAGTTTGTCTCCCTCTCTATTTTTAGCCTATTTTATTTTTCCTTCCCTGACCTATGTTCATCAGTTTTGTTTCTTAAATTCCATATATGAGTAAAATCATATGGAATTTGTCTTTCTCTGACTTATTTCACTTAGCATAATACACTATAGTTCCATCCAAGGTGTTGCAAGTGGCAAGGTTTCATTCCTTTTGATGGCTGGGTGATATTCCTTTTGATGGCTGGGTAATATATATATACCGTATCTTCTTTATCCATTTGTCTGTCGATGGGCATCTGGGCTCTTTCCATAGCTTGGCTTTTGTGGACACTGCTGCTATAAACATTGGGGTGCATGTGCCCCTTTGAATCACCTTTGGATAGATACCTAGTAGTGCACTTGCTGGGGTGTAGAGTAGTTCTATTTTTAACTTTTTGAGGAACCTCTAAACTGTCCTTCAGAGTGGCTGCACCAGCTTGCATTCCCACCAACAGTGTAGGAGGGTTCCCCCTTCTCCGCATCCTTGTCAACATGTATTGTTTCCTGAGTTGTTAATTTTAGCCAATCTGACCAGTGTGAGGTGGTATCTCATTGTGGTTTTGATTTGTATTTCTCTGATGATGACTGATACTGAGCATTTTTTCATGTGTCTGCTAGCCATTTGTATGTCTTCTTTGGAGAAATGTCTGTTCATGTCTTCTGCCCATTTCTTGGCTGGATTTTTTGGTTTTTTTGGGTGTTGAGTTGGATGAGTTCTTTATAGATTTTAGGTACTACCCCTTTATCTGATATGTTAATTGCAAATATCTTCTCCCATTGCGTGGGTTGCCTTTTAGTATTGTTGATTGTTTCCTTTGCTGTGCAAAAGCTTTTTGTCCTGGTGAAGTCCCAGGAGTTCATTTTTGCCTTTGTTTCCCTTGCCTCTGGAGATGTGTCTCACAAGAAGTTGCCGAGGTCAAAGAGGTTGCTGCCTGTGTTCTCTTCTAGGATTTTGATGGATTTCTGTCTCACATTTAGGTCTTTCATTGTACTATGACTCATTTTGAGTTAATTTTTAAGTACAGTATGAAGTATCAGAGTTCATTGTTTTGCATGTGAATGTTCCAGTTATTCCACCACCATTTGTTGAAAAGCCTTTTTCTACTGAATTGTCTGTTGTGCCTTTATCCCAAATCAATTAACCATATATGTGAGTCTTTCTGGATCCTGTATTCTGTTCTGGTGATCTGTGTCTTTAGCTATGTGATGCCAACCCTACTGTCTTGATTACTCATTTTTAAGTATGTGAAGAGAGGGGCACCTGGGTGGCTCAGACCATTAAGCGTCTGCTTTCGGCTCGGGTCATGATCCCAGGGTCCTGGGATCGAGCCCCGCATCGGGCTCCATGCTCTGTGGGAAGCCTGCTTCTCCCTCTTCCACTCCCCCTGCTTGTGTTCCCTCTCTCGCTGTGTCTCTCTCTGTCAAATAAATAAGTAAAATCTTTTAAAAGAAAAAAAAAAAAAAGTATGTGAAGAGGTTCTGAGACCAAAGTGTTTGAGAATTGCTGCCTTTCCATATGACCATTGGTAAATTCTCTAACTCCTGTGTGCCTTTCTCATTTTATTTTATTTTTTTGAAGATTTATTTATTTGTCAGAGAGAGAAAACAGCAGGCAGAGGGGGAAGCAGGCTCCCCGCTGAGCAGGGAGCCCAATGCGGGGCTCGATCCCAGGACCCCGGGATCATGACCTGAGCCGAAGGCAGACGTTTAACCAACTGAGCCACCCAGGCGTCCCTCCTCATTTTAAAAAGGAAGGGGTGGAATAATTACCTCCATAAGGTTGTTGTAAAGATTAAATGAGTTAATTCCTGGAAAGTGCTAAAAATAGTATTTGGTCCATTGTAGGTGCTCTACAGTATTTGATAACATGTTTGAATGAGTAGCTCATATGATATCAGAACATGATTTATCTCCTCCATTTCTTGGCTCAGTTCCTTGGTGTTGGTTCTTTTCTCTGTTGTCTCTCCTCTTACTGTTTCATGTTGGTTGCCAGCAGTTCCAGAGCTACATTGGTTTGGGGACTACTATTTCCTCCATATGTCAATCATAAGTCCCGTTCTTGAGTTTTATTGGCTGAATTGACCTGATCTGTCATCCCTGAACTAATCACATAAGATGAGGTGGATATCTGACTCTCAGCCTTCTTTGGTCCACCTGTAACAGTAGACAGTGGGGTCAGTCCTCAAACTACACCTGAGAAAACTGGAGTGAAGGGGGGGGAATGGATGTTAGGACTGCAACTCATAAATGCCCACCATGTTTATATAGGCCATAAGTTCTTTCCAGACGTGTATTTTTATATAATACACACACAGACATGCACACACATTTGGTGGTAAGAATTGATAACAGATTCCTAAGGGGAAAATCATGACTCTTTTCATTTGATTTCAGTTAATAATGGGACTTGGTACCCAGGGGGCGGAGAAGAAGAGTGCAGCATCGATTGCCTGTTTTTTGGCTGCCAATGGCGCTGACCTTAGCATTCGAAATAAGAAAGGTCAATCGCCGCTTGATCTCTGTCCTGATCCAAGTCTCTGCAAAGCACTGGCAAAGTGTCATAAGGAAAAAGTCAGGTTTGTATCATTTATTATCATAAAACTTAGTATTCTCTCTCTATATAGAGTACCATGTGGTTTCATAATGGAGGACTTGATTACTTGAAAATGTTTTTGTCTTTGCTCATCATCTTTGTGCTGACCCTTTTTTCCTTAAAAATTTTCCTGCAGACACTATGTCTCTTATTTCATGTTGTATTCTCTACATTACTGAATATGACACTTTATGCATAATAAATGCTAAGAAACTTTTCTAAACCAGTCTGATCTTCCAGTACTCCTACATGTTAGAGAAATTTATCTATAAGAAAAAGTCTTACTAGTGAAATGGCTGTGATTAATGTTAGATGTATTTAAAATTTTAATAGACCTTTTTAGGAGAGGCAGTTTACATGCTCACCAGTAAGGTGTACCTCACACAGATGCGGTAGTAATTCCAGCACCCTGCAGAGTGCCTGACAGGGACTCACTAAGTATCACTGAAGGACTGAAAGAATTTGAAAGAATGAATACATGAAGGAACCAATTCCTGATGGAGTTGTCTCTAAAAATGATTTCATACTTGTCTTCTTTTCTAAAAGTAAAATATATCAGTGATTTTAATTATTATTTATAATGCAACTGATTTTCTTCTTATGAGATATTGTAGACATACAAAGAGGTATATTTCATTACTTTTTTTGTCCAGATGGTGCTGTGCAATTATTACTGCCCTTTATATCTGGTTCTTGTCATTGAACATTTCAGTAGTTGTCCCTTGATCTTTGTGTTCTCTTGCCTCTTTTATAATTTAGGTGTAGTGATAAATGACTTCCCTTTGGAATCCATACCTTAGAGCTGTGTTAATGGGGAAATTAATGCAATGAGGTATATACATTTCTTTAAGTGTATCCTTAAGGATAAAATTCTGTTACAAAATGACAGCGCGCATCTAAAAACATAGAAGGCACTATAATTACTGCAGTAATAACTTTAACACTGGTGTCTAAGATGAAACCGCTTTGTGTGTGCATGCATGTTCATGAGTTTCTGAAGATTGTGGTAGAAACAGAGTATCCCCTTTCCTATAGCTGTAGTTGGTCATTTTTATGTATTTCTGTGTCTTGTATCTATATATTTATAGATGAGTTCTGTCTTTCCATAGTACAATTTTATGCTCCTTAAGGATACATTGAAAGAAATGTCAAAACAGCAGCTGCAGTGACATATTTTCCACAGTGCCCTGTCAGTTGTGGACTCTGGTGATGCTTCATTCTGTCTGTAGTTAGGATAACTAACGTGGGCTCTAGCTAGAATTTTTGTTTTATTCCTCTGCCCTTCTCTGCTGGCTCTGTATAGATGAAACAGAGTCTGAGTGAAACTGTGTTCATGTTAAATTTTTTGTGAGTAGTGTTTTTGATTTCTTTGTTTGAAGATTCACCCTTTTCCGTTGGGTGAACTATTTGTTCAGTTTGAAATTTAAATAGTGTTAGAAGTATGTAAAGATGCAGAGATGTATATAAATGGAAAAATACAGCATGTTTCTTATACAGATGTTACAGCTTAATTTTTTTTAACATAACTAAAGCTGTTGTTATGTATACTAATGATGCTCTCGATATTTTTAAAAGCATTTTAATTAATGAAGTAATATAAATATTCTGATAGGATTGATTATAAATATTTTCTTTTATTAGTGGTCAAGTAGGTTCTCGAAGTCCTTCTATGATTAATAATGATTCTGAAACCTTAGAAGAGTGCATGGTGTGCTCAGATATGAAGAGAGATACTCTTTTTGGCCCATGTGGACATATTGCTACCTGTTCTTTATGTTCTCCACGAGTCAAGAAATGCCTCATCTGTAAGGAACAAGTTCAGTCCAGGACAAAGGTAATATATTTTTAATACAGTTTTTTATCATTTTATGAAGTTCTTTCAGACTATAAATAATGATAAGATTATATGATGCCATATGTCTGTTAAATTTCGGTCTAAGTGATTTAAATATAAGAATGTATAATTTATATATTTATCAAGAGAACAATTTTTTGAGTTTCCTCCTTTAAATGTAAACTGTAGAAGTTAAAAATAAAATTGATCTACTGTTTTGCTTTCAAAGCCTCCTATAACCTAGAGATGTATTTAATTCCGTTTTTATTGTAGTTACTTATATTTTGCACCTTTCTTGAGTACATGGGCCCTCATATTCATCTTTATAATAAAGACCACTTGATTTTTTTTTTTTTTTTTTGGTAGAATGTCACACATTCTGGATTTGATTGTTTTATCACGGTATTAATATGTTTCTTTATCCTCTGTGTTTCCTGTAAACTGGAAGTGAGATCTAACAGCTTGATTAGAGTCAGCTTAAACATTTTTGGCAAGAAATTCTTACAGATGATGTTACTCACTTTGTATTGTGTCCCACCAAGAAGCAAATAAAGGCTGATGATCATCATCCTGCTGTTAGTGAAGACCAAATTCTATATCCACTCTGAACTTTTTTATCTTGTCTGACTCTTGGCTTTTTGAGAAGTATTATTCTTTTCTTGGTTTCTGGTTTCATTCTTTTTCTGTGTAACTTAGTGCTTTATCATAACTGTACCGTCTTGCCCATTTTGGTTGTACTGAAATAATTGATTATCCTTTTTAGTTTTTCCATATGTGTGTGTAAAGTGAGATTTAAGTTTCTTACAAATGATTTCTCTTAAGGTGAGTGGCTTAAACCATTGGTTTCATTTATGGAATTTATACTCTTTTTTCATTCCCTTCTTTTTATTCTCATTTTCCCCTGATGTTTCTTAAGCTATTCATTTACCTTCATTAATTAGAAAGGAGCTGGCACTAATTCTTATAATAAATTAGCTGGCAGTGACTTAAAAGGTGTTACCTTGCCAGTGCTTTGTACATTTTCATAGGGAACGTTCTAAGACTGGGAGACTGTTCCTTCTAAGCAACAGTTTGGGAACGAATCTGAAAGAATTTAAGCCATTTTCTTATTTTTAGATTGATCTGTGTATTCTGCTGTTGTGCTTGAAACTTTTTGTGTTGGATTAAGCCCTATTTCAACAAATCTTTATTGAGCACTTGTTTTGTAGTGAAGACAGAGGTGTATATGATAATTCCCTACTAAAAAATTGTAACCTGCTGGTAAACTATGACTTAGATTTAAAGCTACTCTGCCATATAGGATGTTGTAGGTGCTTTAAGAGAGATATAAAGTGAGTTCAGAGCCCCAGGTTACCTGCCAGAAGCAGAGTCTCAGATACAGAATAGCCCTTACTGGTCTTCTAGTCCAACTCTAGGATTCACAGTTGAAAAAACTGAAGCCCAGAGAAGTTTACTCAGAGTACCAAACACAGGTCTCTTAATCTTAAGTCCTTATTCTTTCCCCTGTGTGATGATGCACAGACACAATTAAAGAAGTGTCTTCAGAGGGAAGATTGATGGAACAGGGAGGTAGAGAGGGAGGAGTATGCCGTCATTTCGTTTTAGACCACTTTTGAATTCCAAGAATTAGTAGACTGTCAGTTTGACTTTCAGATTAAGAAATTTTCAAACCTGTAGAAAAGTACAAAAAGTAACATACCCACCAAATAAATTTGCCAGGTTAGCTGCAGAGCCTTTGAATATAAAGAAATAGTGACCCCAAGTGGTTAAAGGATAATGAACATCTTCATTAAAGATAAAGCAAATTATAAAACTAGTATTTAGAGGAAGGGGGATAAACAAGCTTTGTCTCTTTAGCAGTTAAAGAAATGTAAATTAAAAATTATGAATTACCATTAACCATTCCTATCAAATTAGCATAAATTTTAAAAATGCTAGCCAGAAAAGTGGAAAATGGACACTCTTTTAAACACTGCTGGAGGTTGAATAAATGGATTCATGTTTTTGAGAGACCATCCTGACAATATTTATGAGGCTTTACGATAAACATGCTCTTATTTAGTAATTCCATTCCTGGGAATATAACCTGGGGAAAAAATTCAAAGGGGAAAAAAGTTAAGACTACAAAGATTTTTTTCACTTATATATTAGGGGATTTGGTAAGTAAATGATTGTTTAATCAATTTGCTAGATTATTTTAAACTCTTTATGAACAATTCAGACGTATAAACAGTTGCAGTGGAAATCTTTTAAAGAAATAGCACATCATTATATAGAGAGGAAAAGAGAATTATCATGCATTGGACACTGATATTATATTAGGCATTGAACTAAACACTCCAGGCATAATATCTGATTTACCCTTTACTACCCTGTGAAGAAAGGTTGTTCTTTATCATTCAGATAAAAAGAGCTGTGGCTCAGCAATGTTAGATAATTTGTAATTATTGGAGCTGCAGTTTGAATCCAGGAATATAAAGATCTTGACCCTCCGTGTCTTACTGCTTTCCCCTGTTACCCAACTACAGAAATTCTATGTACATAGCAAGGTATAAGTTGGGAGAGTCCATAGAGAGCATGTGTGCAATATTTGGTTAGTTAGTTAGGTGAAGTTATAGGTGACTGGTGGTCATCATTTTTGGACAGTGATATTAAGTGGCACAGATATGGGTGAGTGTGAATGTGTGTCAGAAGAGAGGAGAACAGGTGAAAGATGGATGCAAAGCAAGGGCAGTGGGATGGGTGGGGGTGGACAAGCCAAGAGCCAGGTTAAGAAGTAGCTATGCACTCAAAACTCAGATCAAGTGGAGATGAAGAGGAGGTAAAATTGAGGGAAATTATGAATATGTTGTGGAAGACTTGTGGCTTTAGAGATTAGGGAGAAAGAGCAGCCCAAAGCCATGAGCTCCCCACCAGTGTGGGGGAACTGACCAAGTCCTGGAAAAGTTCCTCTGATGTGGATAAACAGAAAAATTCCACTTGGGCTCTAGCAATCTCCTAATCTGGCTGGGTTTTTATTAATATTCGAAATCTAGCTTATCTTACATTTATTTTTATACTTCTTTGTTTTTAAATTTTTTCTGTCACAAAGTAGTTTTTGAAAAAAAATTAAAGTCTATTTTGGTCTTTCTGACCACAGAGGAAATGGAGTTGTTTTTTTTTTAAATCATTCTTTGGGACAGGTAGGGAGACTAACATGGTAGTAGAACCTGTGAAGGGCCAGGGTATATAAAGGTAAAAAAAATGAGTAACCAAGAGAGTAGAGAACAGAGGAGGAGTGCATATTAAGTTTCCTGTGCTGGGAGTGTTGCCTTATAGAGGAAATACGCTTGGATACAAAAGGAACTGTTAGAGTTAGGAGATTTATCTGTAGATGTTCACACTTGTGCTGTAACCTCTTTTTTTGTAGATTGAAGAATGTGTGGTGTGCTCTGACAAGAAAGCAGCTGTTCTTTTTCAGCCTTGCGGACACATGTGTGCTTGTGAGAGTAAGTAGCCTATACAAAACTGACTCAATGTTTCTACAAAAATAGAAAATAAAACAAATTATAGCTGGAGATTTTTTTTTTTAATAACCCTTGAACAAAAACATTGGTGGCCCTCTCTAGTACCTTCCGTCTCTTCTTCTGTACTATGTGTAATGTCCCCTGTGTCCCTCCTTGCTCCTGAGTATTAAAGACAGAATAAGTTCTGTTCTTCCAACTCACACGTTAATTCATTTGTATCAGCACAAAATGATCTCTTCTCACACACAACAGAAATTTATTTCTAAAAATGACTTTTGAAACATTTAGTCTAGCCCTTTTTACATAATAAAATCCGCACATTTTCATTTGTCTTCACCTTGATGTTGCCTCTCCTGCATACTTTCCCCACTACTGAACCACCCACAGCATCCATTTGGGGCTGTAATGTCTGGCCTTCTTAACCTTTCTTAATCTTTATGTCAAAAGAGCTTATAGGACTTTTTGGGAGAATATATTAAAGTTCAAGTGATGTTTTAAAATATCTCTTAAACGTATTCCTTCAAAGACCTTTGCTTTTTATACCTCCCCTTGTTCTTTTCAAATTCATGTACTATTCAACATTCTCCTCTTCCTTTGTTTTCGTTTGTCAGTGAAGGATTTTAAGCAAGTTTAACAACTTACACCTTACTTAAATGGGCTCAAGATAAAGCATGGTGTTTCCTATTTTAAATTGTTCAGGGGGCACCTGGGTGGCTCAGTTGGTTAAGCGTCTGCCTTTAGCTCAGGTCATGATCTCAGGGGTCTTGCTCGGTGGGGAGGCTCCCTGCTCAGTGGGGAGTCTGCTTCTCTCTCACCCTCTGTCCCTCCCCCCAACTCCCCGCTCATGCTCTCTCTCTCAAATAAAATTTTTTTTTTTTTTAAAGATTTTATTTATTTATTCATGAGAGACACAGAGAGAGAGAGGCAGAGGGAGAAGCAGGCTCCCAAGGAGCAGGGAGCCCGATGCGGGACTCGATCCCAGGACCCTGGGATCATGCCCTGAGCCGAAGGCAGACGCTTAACCATCTGAGCCACCCAGGCATCCTCAAGTAAAATTTTTTAAAAAATAGTTCAGTCAGTAGGTACTGATTTCCAATATAATATCTAATACACAAATTGTATGATAGATTAATCTCACTGGCATAGATTTGCTTTAAGCCTTGGTGGTTTTTTTCATTCTGATAGGCAGCTCATCAACTAAAGAAAGGATCAAGGTTTCCTCCTGTAACATTCTCCTCAAGTAATTGTTTTTGTTTTCCAAAGACTAGTATAATGGCTACTATCAACTGTAAGAGGGCTTGTGGATTTCTGATTTAAGTAAGAAGAGCTCAGGTTACTTAAGTTTCCATAGTCTAGGGGCTAGCAAACTTTTTCTGTAAAGGGTCAAATAATAAATATTTTTGACTCTGTGGGCCATGTGGTTTCTGTAGTAACTACTTAAAACTCTTTCCTATTACTCACCTCTGCCATTATGGTGCAAAAACCACCATAGACAATATGTCTATGAATAGGCAGGACTGCTTTTCATTAACACTTTATTTACAAAAACAGGTACCTGGGGGCACCTGGGTGGCTCAGTCTGTTAAGCATCTGACTCTTGATCTCAGCTCAGGTCTTGATCTCAGGATTGTGAGATCAAGGACTATACATTGGGTGTGGAGCCTACGTTTAAAAAATAAAAAAAAAATGTGAGCAAAAACAGGCACCTGGTTGGGTTTGGCGTGGAGGCTGTAGTTTGCTGACCCCTGTCCTGGACCTACAGAGACTTGAAAGCTGGTTATAATGAGTAGTTGGTAATACAGATTTTCAGGCCTTACTGCAGTACTTTCTCCAGAGTTTCCCAAAGTTTTTACGTTGTTTTTGCATTCACATGTAACAAGAGTAGCAGCTAACTTTTATTAAGCTCTTACCTCATACCAGACTTTTTTTTAAGAGAGAGAGAGCGTGAGCACCAGGGGAGGGACAGAGGGAGAGGGAGAATCTTAAGCAGTTTCCACACCTAGCACGGAACCGGACGTGGGGCTTGATCTCACGACCCTGAGATCATGACCTGAGTCGAAATCAAGATTTGGACCCTTAACCCACTGAGCCACCCAGGTGCCCCAGACATTTTAATCTCTTTTAGAGTGTTTCCTCATTTATCGTCACAACAACCCTAAGAAGTAGATTGTTTTCTCCATTGTACAGACACATTGTTAAGCATTTATTTGCTAGGGAAGATGAAATTGAGGTGGAAAATGCCTCTCTTTCAAGCAATGTACAGTGAAGCACTTAGTCCATTACCTACATCCCAGTAATATTAAACAGAGTATTGGAACCTTGAAGAGTATAAAATAGTGCCTTGACAGGCCAGAAGGAGAGATTGTATCTGTTTTGGAGGGAAGGAAGAAAGATTTTATAGAAGCAATGTAACAACCTAACTTAATAATTAAAAGAACTTGAGAAAATTGTGGTTATATATTATACAGTGAGACGCTTAAATTAATCCTTTAAATTTAAGGAAAAAATCTGCCCTCAGATTTAAGACAACTCCCAAATGAGATTTCTGCTGGCATTAGCTCCAACCTAGTGCATCATGCATAAGCCAGCATCAGGCCCATCTCTGTTTAGGCCTTGACATGAGGTCGGCCTTGATAACCCTTCTCTGTCCCCTGACATAAGCACCGTTAGGAGTCTGTGCCCCATCTTGTCCACGTCAGTGGTTTTGTGCTTTGTTAAAGTTTAGTGCCTGATCATAAATTATCCCTGGATACCTGTCACAGTTGTCATTTATTTTCCATGTTTTTGAAATGATAAAGACACTTGGTACATAGACTAAGATATGGAGTATACTTTCATAGTAAATGCTAATGGGAAAGGATATATTGAAGAGCTGTATGTTATTGTGTAATTAATTAACAACTTTAGATGTAGAATTAACAATCCACAACCTATAATTGTGCCTAGGCATTTCTTCTTTGGGATGGGAGAGCATTCCTCTGATATATAAATATTAGAAAGTCCATTATGACACCTATCTGATGTTTTCTTGACTGCTGTATTAAAAAAGTAGTTACTAAACAGTGTCCTTATTATATTACATCAGTTTGCTAGAAAGAGAAGGAAGAGAATTCTTCAGCATATTTTAGGAGTTTTAAGGATAAGCTATTTACAACAGAAAGTACATTTAGAAAATTATGTGAGCAACCTTTTAATTCTATATTAGTTGAAACTTATGAAAAGTATATTTCTCCTTTATTCTCAAGCCTTAAGATCTTGAAATATTTTTAATTAAAAAAAAAACACAGAAAAATCCTTTTCACAATTTATTCTACTGTATTAGAAAACGTCATTATTTTCATAACAGTGGGCTCTCTCTTGTAGAGGCTGCCTCTAGAGAATACACATTCATAGGTGGATAACATTTTAAGAAGGTAGAATCGTGTATTCATAGAACTTGTTTAGTGTTTATTTCAGCGTGTGATTTAAGTTATAAAAGTGAGCAGAGAAGGGCAATCCTCTTGTTGTGTTGTCTCTTGTGAGAAGTATCCGATTGCTGTTTTGCAGACTGCGCTAGTCTGATGAAGAAGTGCGTGCAGTGTCGGGCAGTAGTTGAGCGAAGAGTGCCTTTCATTATGTGCTGTGGCGGGAAGAGTTCCGAAGATGCCACTGATGACAGCTGTGAGTGTATTTTTTTGAGTTTTTCTGACTTCGTTTTCTCATTGGGACTTTAAAGTGCTGAAGATCTTGTCTCATGGGTGGTAAAGCATAGGGTAAGGGTATGTGACCCGAATCTACAGAGGAACAGGTGGGGTTTGCTCTTGTTACAGGAAACTTGAAATTATATTTTTCTGGCTTGCACTAGGATTATAGAACTTGAAGCACTTGTCTTTTAAGAAACCTCCATGTGTGATACAAAGAAAATTGTTGTACTCTTGCTTAAAGAAACAGCATATTACAAATTATTTTTTCAGTTACACAAGTATCAACGCCTCATTCCTTTGTGTAGCAGGTTTCACCTAATGCATGTCAGTATTTTATAGAATAGTGTTTATTTGGGACAGAGTAACTGTAGATAATACTGAAGTATAACTCAGTGACGAAGTGGAAAGATGAAAAGTAAATGATTTACTTTCAACCTTTTTAATCCTATAGCTGTATAAAATATTTTTCATCTTTGCACTAGATATAAGCTTGGATGGTATCTTTGATTTCTTTGCTCTATGTACACATGAGGAAGAACATCAGTGTAACCATTTTTGCCCAGGGCTTTTTGTCTTTATCACCAATAGAGTAGAATAAAAATCCCAGGGACAAATAAACTAGAGTTAAAAGAGTAAAAATCTAGAGAGTAGTAAAAGTTGACATAAAAAATTTCCCTCTGTTTAGCAGACCCAGTGATCACAGCTTTTCGTTCATGGAGTTCTTCATCTCGGAACAGTAACAAGGAGGGTTGGGCGGAGAGGAAGGAGCCTAGGTTTTTGTGTATTCTCATAAACATCATCTAAGAGACTTTATAATTATTGCTGCCAAAACTGGCTAAAAAGTGCTGTGCTGCCTACCTTCTTGGGTTCGTACAATGTGGGAGCAGAGAAAACAAGCATAAAATGTATTTGTGAGCTTGCCAAAGGAAGCAAGTAGTACCTCGGAAGACCCAAAAGTCTGTGTGTAGATTGTTGTCTAGCTGAGTTAAATATAATTAGAAAATAATGTGCAAACCTGTTTCTTTCTGAAGATTATAAATGAAGGCGTGTAATATGAAGGTCACTGTTACGTCTGTTGGCCATGAATGAGAAAAACTTTTAAACAGGATTCTAGTAGTAGTCTTGTGTTTTTAATAAAGCCGTAGTAATTTTAGAAATAAAAATCATTATTATGTCAAAACAATCATAACATTAAAATATTTTATTTACATTATAGCAAGTGGAAATATTCCAGTGTTACAAAAGGACAAGGATAATACCAATGTCAATGCAGATGTGCAAAAGTTGCAACAGCAGTTACAGGACATTAAAGAGCAGGTAATAATGATTTCTTCTTGGTAAATGATGATTCTAAGAATGGCATTTAATATTTTTCTATAAGACTACTAGTGTTTTATGTAGTAATCGTGGTTCATATTAGGGTATCAATTGTAGTATTTGAATATTTGCAAAAGGTAATACGATTCAAAGATCTAATCAGGCACTTTCCAAAATAAACACATGGATGACCAATAAACATGAAAAATGCTCAACCAGATTAGTAATCAAGAAATGAAAATTAGGGTGCCTGGCTGGCTCAGTCAGTAGAGCATGTGACTCTTGATCTTAGGGTTGTGAGTTTGGGCCTCGCTTTGGGCATAGCACTTACGTTAAAAAAAGAAGAAATGAAAATTAAAGCTACAGTTTGGTGCCTTTTCCCACCTACCTGACTGCATGGAAAGCTCAGTGTTAGAATATGTAGCAGCCATAACCCACATCCTACTGATGGGAATATAAATTACTAAAAATACCTTGGAAAAGTTTGTCGTCACAATCATATAACTAAACAGGATATTGTTTGGTGATGCAAACTAGGAAAAAATTGTACAGATGTTGTTTAAAACCAGGGGTAGTGGTTTTCTTGGCTGGGAGGACCGGAAGGGAGCACAAGGGACAGGGAAATATATAAAGTGCCGATTGCATACATCTGATCAGTTTTGTGAACTTTTATCAAACTGTACATTTATGATTTGTACACATTTCTGTCTAGATGTGGTATTTAGGTAGAAAGTAGAATATATATTCTCTCTCACTCCCTCATACACACGCACGCCATAAAGAAAAGCAAAAGAAAGAGAAACGCACTATTTAGAATAGTAGGGATCAGCGAGGGGTAGATGGAAAGGGTTCGGGAGGATGTGTGGAGCGGCTTCAAAAGAAAGGGCAGCATTCCATCCTTTGAACGTGCTCTTCATATCTTCCGCTTGCCAACAGAAGTACTCTTTTATCTGCTCAATATTTGATAGCAGCAACAGTAAAATAAAGAGGTCAGTTACAACTTGTTACATAAATGGTAAGTAAGAAAGTCCGCCCGCCATCCCCCCCCCCCCTTTATCATTTGACCCAGCAGTTAAATTGGATGCAAAGGATTGAGGAGCAGAGGGTGTTATTTCTTTGGTTTGGGTATCACATCAGTGTTGCCATGCAGTTGTTAATCATCACTCTTGTCTTTTCTGTTGATTTTACAAGAAAGTAACATAGTCAATAAATAATGAGTCAGGGTAACTGATGACCTTTGTGATATAGTAATATGGTAGCTACAGTAATTTAGAATTAAGCATATATATTTGCTAGGAATTTAAACACCCGTCTGAAAAGGTGAAAACTCTATGACTAAGCTAGTTTTTCTTTTGAAATCTTGCACCTAGTAACACTTACTGTACAGTGAATAGGTAAAGATAAACATGGATTTGCCAGTTCTTATGGAGGAACATAAAAATAGGAACCTATTTAGCTCATTCTAATATAAAATAGAGCATTTCAAAAATCTTGAAGCTCCTTAGAATCTCATTTCCTTTCCTATAAGACACTTCTAGAAAGGTAAACTGATTTTTGAATACATCTTCTCTGAAAAGCATTTCATCTCCTAATGGTGAATTAAAATTGTTCTTAAAATGAATAATGGCACTTTTTGAGCCCTATTATGTATCCTTAAAAATTCAGCTTTACCTTTATCCAAGTTTAGCACTCCAAAGAAGTTTCTTCTCCCTTAAATAATCTTCATGACCATATTGCATCACTAAAATATTTAAACAGTTACAGGAAAATTCATTTTCTGAGGATTGATGGATGGGATTTCTTGCAGGGACCCCTTCAAGGTTACCAAGACAAAGTAGCTGAATAACCCTTTTAAAATTTTATTTTATTTCTTTAAGGATTTTATTTATTTATTTGTCAGAGAGAGAGAGCACAAGCAGGGGAAGCAGCAGGCAGAGCGAGAAACAGGCTCCCCAATGAGCAGGGAGCCCGATGTGGGACTCGATCCCAGGACCCTGGGATCATAACCCGTGCCGAAGGCAGACACTTAACCAACTGAGCCACACAGGTGCCCCTCCTTTTTAAATTTTAAATCTCCAGTCTTTCTATTACCCCAATGTAATTTCATGTGGTATTAAGATATATTAATCTCAAAGTAATTTAACCTAGGCTGTGCAGATGTGTTTACTTTTGGAAATAAGAGTTATTAATTGACTGCATATAACTCTTGAAAATTTAAGGGAAAAGAAACTATTTTAATGGCACTAAAAGGCTGGTTTGGCTTTTTAAATAAAAAAAATATAATTTTCTACAACTTTGTTTCTCAAACTTTAAGATAGATAAATGTGAAAATTTTCTTCAGGAGGCTGTGGTTAACAATTTAGATTACAATTCCTTCCCCCTCCCTACCACAGTGATCTCTGGTATTGTCAAAGTTGGTAACTACATTTTCATATAGGCCTTAGGCCTAGTTTATTAATCTAGACATTCTTTTTTAGTTATTTCATTTCTGTGTAATTTGGGAAAAGATACAATTCAGAATGAAGCATTGTGATATATTAAGGTAAAATATATTTTTATAAATATAAAGTGTAAAATGTGTTTTTGTGAATGAATGAATATCTGCTTTCCTAGAGGGTTTTCACAAAAGTATACCTAACATACTTCTAAATTTTCCTGAGTTCATGAAGTTACATTTATTAATATGTAACTAACGCTAATTGTTTTTAACCTAAGGGGATTCTACATTGATAGTAATCCAGTGAAGCATGTTTCAGAGCAAGAGCTCTGGGCCACAGAACCCCAGTTCACATTGTGGCCTGCTGTGGGGAAGTGTTTAGCGCCATGAAGCCTCAGTTTCCTCGTTTTTAAAGTGGGAGTGATAATAGGGCTGAGATTGTATCCTAGCGTGTGGCGTGTATTTTTAGGGACATCTCTATGCTGCTTCCCCTCTCCCATTGGCCTGATAGATTGTCATGTTTTCTTACAAGAGCAGCATAGTACCCAGAGTTGGGGAATCTGACTCAGACTGAATGCGGCTATTTTTATCCATTTCCTGTTAGATTTTGGCATTTGCATTTTTTTGTTTTATATAGTATTTATTTTAGGTTGTGCGTTTGATACAGTCCTGACAGTACAACCAATATTTCTATTTTATAGGGATGACATTCCCTATAACTGTTCAAAATTTTTAAAATTAAAAAATTTTTTTTTAATTTTAGAGCAACAAAAGATTGAAACAACAAAAGAAAATGATGTTACAAAGTTGTTACATGTTACAGTTTCAAAATGTAAAATGTCTCAGCATTTACTATTCTGTTATCTCACATTCCAGACCATGTGCCCTGTGTGTTTGGACCGACTGAAGAATATGATTTTCCTCTGTGGCCATGGAACGTGCCAGCTCTGTGGAGACCGAATGAGTGAATGTCCTATTTGTCGCAAGGCTATTGAACGAAGGATTCTTTTGTATTAATTAAGAAACTCTGTGTTTTCTTAGCTGAAGTATTTGGTCATGAGCTCTTAGTAATCTTAATCTGTTAAGCCAGGTGGAGGTTCTAATGAATTAATTTTTAATATCATAGTTTCTTTCCTAGAGTGTAATTAGACTGTAAATGTGCCAGAACAAAAAACCTCTACAAGACAGTGTTTGAAGTTGTGTTTTTTGTTTTTGTTTCTTTTAATTTGAAACATCAAATCCATGTAATTCATAGGTAATTTACTTGTCACTTCTAAGGGAAAATCCTTTAAGGATCTGTTATTTTTGTTTTTATTGCATCTTTTCTTATAGTTTATAAATTTGTTAGACCTCGAGAAATGTAGTTCCTACGATCAGCTATCCTTCAGTTTATCATGATTTTACACAGTGGGTTGACACAGGTACTCAGAACAGTCATGCATCAAGTGAACGGGACAAGTCAAACCATTAGGTCACATGTGTTAAATGACAAAATTATAATACAAGTTTTACATAGTTAATACTGAAGAGAGGATTATCTTTTTAAGATAAAAAGTTATGCAAACGATTGATTCTGAATTCTTAGAGTAAATGGAAGCATGGAATGAGAGAGCAGTGACTTTGCAGTTAGCTTAATTTCTAGATTTAAAAGGAAGATTGTTTAACTTGAATCAAATTTCTAGTTTCATGATGATTGACATGAAAAGGAAAAACAAGCAGTCATAGTGGGGAACTGAAGTGGGGGAAGTGGCCAATAAATGAGTACCTATTAACTGACCATTAACAGTTGCCTTTCATATATACTAATCTATACACTGTTCTGTTTACCAGCCTTTAAAAAAAAAAAATCTGTGAAAAGTGTACCTCAGTTTTCCCTGTGGTTACTTATCCAGGCTTGATCTGACCAGTGAGATAATGTTGCCCTTTTTGGGCTTCTGAGGTTCCATGTAGCTTTTCTCGTGTACTGAATAGTACCCCAGTGATCTGAGGAGGATAACGCATTGTCCCAAGGCAGCAATCTTTTCCTTGTCCGTATCTTTTTAATTCTGACAGTAATACTGGTTCTATCTTCATCATAAGCCCTACTTCCATTTTCTTTCAGTTGCTAAGGCTTGCTGTAAAGAAAGCACTCTCTTTATACCTACAGGTGAAGATATTATTTAAATTGCCAGCAGTATCCAAGACATAGTAAGTAACCTAATAATAAATACTTTAGAAAGAGTGACCAGGACATTTACAGAAATATGTCTAATTACCTGTAGTTTTTTGGTTTTTTGTTTTTTTTAGTCTGATTCTAGAGCATCTGATAATTTTCCCTCCTTTGAATGAGTAGTCTTACTCTGTCTAGGATGAATCTACATATACATAAGTGTCTTGGGGTCCTTGCTGCTAGGTTATAAAAATACTGGCTGTTTACAGTGGTGTCTACTATATACTGTCCATAAGCTTCTTCCTAAGGGTGTAGCTATCTGGTAGTTCTTTTCCTTTCTTTAATTCTGGTTCTTCTTTCTTTTTGTTTGTTTTTTGGGGGTTTTTTTTTTAGGGTTTTTTTGTTGTTGTTATGACAACTAAATTTAAGAATATTCCTGGCAATTTAATGGCTGCTGCCTTTGCAAGTCCGGGTGAAAACAGTGGTGAGCTTTGCTGGCTGATTTTGTAGTGTCGGTAATTCCATATCTGTGTTTAGCTGAAAAACTTAGGATTTAGAACAGTAAAATTTTTATAAATTTTAAATTTGAAAATTTATATAGATTCAGTTATCTAATAAAGGGCCACTGAGGCTATTTTTTAAGCCATATTTTAGAGTTATAGAGAGAACATCTGACATGATGTTCACTTAAAGAAATAGATTATTTTCTTTCAGATTTGAAAATAGTGAAAGTCAGGATTTTTTTTCTTCCATGCCATAGGCTGCCCATCTCTTTTCCACTAGATCAGCTGGAGAGGAGGAAACACCTGGCTGACTTGTGCATGGTTTGGCCACCCAGTGAATTCTGTAGTCTAGAGCTCTGCTTTACCTAAATCCTTTTTGTATTTGGAGCTTGCAGTGCTTAAACTTACATCCCTAAAAGGCAGTTTCATTTTCCAGACTAGTTCATTTCTTCTACATTAAAAATACAATAAACTGTTACAAAAAGTCATTAAGGTCACTATGATTATAATGCTGTATACTTGTGGGATTTTCTATATTTGTACCACTTTGAAATATGTTTAATGAATAGAAGGTGTTTCTCTATTCAATGTTTTCAAGCATCTGATAAATTATTTTAAATTTGTTTTGTGTTTGTGAGCAAGAGTAAGATTAAGAACTGAGTTGTTTAAGTGACTTCCTTCTAATTCTGTGAAATTGCTACCTCTTAATGTCTCTCAGCAGCACTTTCCCAGTTAGATATGTTTCCTTCTCATCAGCTCATCATCATGTGCCTCAGAAGAGCTTTTACTTTTCCTAGAATCATTAAAAAAAACATAGGCCTCAGGGGCTAGATACACAACATTGAAAAAAGTGGTCAGCATCTTAGCACACACAGAATCTAATCTATCATGCAGCAGTTGTACATTTGAAGAAATCTGTAGTCAAGAAGGGATCCAAAGGTACTAATAACATTTCTTCCTAATGTTTCAGAAGAGTTGTCATTTGGATTCCCTCTCTGTACCCCCTTACTCCTACCACATTTTCTTCTCTAAGACTAAGCTTTGTTGCCCGAAACACACAGAACTTACCAGATGGTGCTATTCTACTCGTTTTGGTTCACATAATTTAACATTCTTACTGCTTATACTATATATGTATTTAATTTTGTTGGGAGCCAGAAGGCTTTTCAAGAGATCATTTTGTATTAGTGTAGGAATAGTATATTAGACAAATGTTTAATTTAGCTGGCCAAATCATAATTGGACAAGATGTTTGTAATTTTAACATTGCAAATTGACCAGCTAGTTACTGAGACATAAAATTAATTGATGATGTTGAAAATAGCGTTCTTAAATTTGTATCTTTGATGGCTTTAGCCTGTAAGAGCATTTTAGCATATTGAAATGCATGCTGCTTAGGATTTGTCCAATTCAAATTTCAAAGCTTGCTGGGTCATGTTCTTGTTTATTATGAATTCCTTTTTGACTGGGAATTAGTTACGCTTATGAACTAAGAGACTTAGTGATGTGGTAGGATAGGGAAACAGTAAGCAGTTGCAACAAGTAAGAAAGAAAAGTCAGTGTTTGAATTTAGAGAAAAAGGTTTAAAAAAATCATGTAGATTTCATCAAAGCAGTAAGCAGAAAGAGTATACTTGATTGAATGATAAAAACCCTTCAACCAGTTTTTAGTGTCGTTTAATTGACAATTGCTTTGTAAACTATACGGTTTAATACATCTGGCTTTAAAAAAAGTCCAAAGGAAAAGCACCTATCCTGTCAGAGTCTCTAAAATGATACAGTAATAATTTGTGTAAAAACTGAATTTTTGGAATAGAATTTTTTTTTGCATTTTTTTATTGTAAAAACACTTAACATGAAATTTACCATCTTTAAGTGTACAGGTCATTAGTGCTAAGTATATTCACGTTATTAAATGGCTATGCAGAACTTTCTTGCCTTGCAGAACTGAAACTCTGTTATACACATTGAACAACTCCCTTTCTCCCCCCAGTGGAACAGTTCTGATTAAATATAAATCAAGAAACAACCTGAATTTTCTTAATAGTTTGTGTCTGCAAGATTTAAAGTCGTGGCCAACATTAAGTTCCTAAGATTTGGGGGATGACAGAATTTCTTCCCTTCATCCCAGCTGTTATAAATCATAATTGGGTTGGGGTTAATTGTCTGTTAATTGGAAGGGTTTGTTACTTCATTTGGAGCCCGGGGTGGGGGGGCACATTTCAACATTAGAATTAGGTTAGCTTTGAATTTGTAGTGAATGGGGAAGGTGATAGATTTTCACAGACTATGTGTGCCTTGTCAAAAATGTTAGTTGTCTTTAAGTCTCCTTGTAACGGTCTCAAATATTTTTTTTCTCTCAAAAACGCAACCTAATTTTATTTGCTTGAATATTATGATAGGAATGCTTACTGATATTACTTGATAATCATATGATAGCCTTGGAACTTATATATATGTAAGTTCCAAACTTATATATATATATGAAACTATAGCAGTATTAATAATCACAGTTGTACTTCTTTAAAACATTAAATTTGAGGAAAAACTATTTAATGCTGTCTCATGTGTACATTGCTTTGCTGTAGCGAGGGGGAAAATCCTTTAGATTGAGACTCAGTTTACTCATAAATGGTTATTAGAGGATGAAACTAAGAGTATGAAAATATGAACGAGTTAGTGGAGCTGATGAATTAAAATTGTAGGTTGCTACATTGGCATTTTCTACCTCCTTTTCTGTCAGAGTATTACTTTTCCAGCTTTTATTCTTTTTTGTGACTAAGGAAGAGATGGGAACCCGAGGTTCAAATTGAAATTTTTATGTTGTTGAGGATTTAAGCAGTAGGTACAGGAAGGGTGACTTGCCACATCAATTTGGTGCATAAATCCATAACGACACGTGGTGACTGACATGGACAAAATGTGTAAGAAAGATAATATTGCTGAGTGTTTTACTTTTCCTGCACAGTCTACGTGACTTGTTTCATAAATGTGGCTTCTTTCCTCCCAAGTGCAAAATGGTCTTATTTTATAGAAATGTAATTTTCTATAAAATAAACAAATATGCCGTTTTGTCTAAAATCTATAATTTCAGGAAGCTATTGAAAGTTCTGACTCAGGGCTTTGTAACAGTTTAAGCAGTTGTTAATTATATTTTGGAAAGTCCATCTACATAATTTTTCAGTGCCTTGGAAGAATTATTAACTTGGCAACACTACTAAGACTTTATAGGAGGCTGTCTTTAGTGTGAGTGTATCATCACACACACATTTATAAGGCGTATTGCTCAGCTTGTGTAATAGCAATACTGCATGTGTGCTGGGTTTGGGTAATTCTTTAAAGGAAGTTTTCTAGATTTGCACTTGATATTTGTTTTTAAAAAACTGATTATTTACGGCCATGACACTGTTACCAGAAAAGTAATTCTATAAGTCATTATACAAAGTCATGTATAAGTAGCATCTGGGAAGAAGAGCTAGGGTTCATACAGTTTGCTATTTTAATATGAAAGGAGGATCTGTTTGGTAAACACAGATTGTCTTCCCCTCATGAAAAAAAGACTTTTTGTTCAAGTGATTCGGTTTAAAAACATTTTTTAAAGGAAATCATGGATTGCATGTTTTTAATGCTAGCCTTACTTAGCCTGAATCCACAAAATTGTTTTCTGTTAATTTCAGTAGTCTTGTCATTCTAAATACAATATATTCAGTGTGATAGAAAGCAGTTTAATTGACGCATAGCACTGTTTTGCTTTGTATTTTTTCCAGTGTTTTTTTAGCTCCCACTTGATTAAAAGTCTTGCTCGTGAATATAGTTTCTGTATGGCAAATGATTCTTGCTTATTAGCTTTTGTTAAAAAAACACTTAGCAAGAGCTAAGCTTTTAAAAATAAATGCAAACATTTACCATTAATTAAACTTACAATGTAATATTATATAATGCTTTTCTCTGATCTTTTGAAAGTATTCTTTATATGAATTTTGATTTTTAAGGTATTTGAAAACATATCTCAATATATCAAATCTATTATTGGAAAGGAAATTATCATGTCTTTGAGAAACAAGTTACATACATCTCCAGCTCAGTATAGGACATTGGTGCCCACATCTAGAAGGCTGTCATTACAATTGTTTACATTTAAGGTACCTCTATCTAAAGGGCCAAAGAAGCTTTTCATATTTTAACACCTCACACTCTTTCAGGATATTGTGAAAGTAGTCTGAATAGGATAAATTTGATAGAAAATCAGTCAACCAGTCAGGAAGACACAACTTTTTCTATAAAACGTTTATTCCTCTTCATAGTTCAGATGTAGATTTCATTTTCAAAAGATAGACATTTTAAAGCAATGATTTATTTGGCTTTTTTAGTGTTTTGTGACTAAATCAGTAATTGAATGGTTTGGAGTTATTTTATTTCTCAAGTTAATAGAAGCAGTTATTTGTCATTATTGAGAGGTTGTCTGGTTCTAGTTCAAAAGATTCAGTATGTGTATCTGGAATGTTTAAGAGGAAAACCATCTGAAAAAAAATCTTTTGTTTATTTGAAAAAAACGTGTATTCCAACTTTAAAATTGTGAATTTATTTTTGGATAACCTCTAACTAACTGTATTTCTGTTGCTGTAAAATTAGATATTTCATGACAATATTTTTTATTAAATTGAAATTGTATAGGTTTTTAAAATAAAGACATTTTAGAAAATCTGATTTATATTTTTTATCATTGACAGTTATTCATCCTTCACAGAAGTTCAAATTATTTGTTAGTCTTAGAGTGTAGCATTTCCCAAACTTACTGACAGGGAAAATTTTTAAATGGTGCATTACAGAGTAGTGATAGTTTATAAGATAGAATGAAGGCATGAATTAAAGTAGAACACCAAAAATTATTTCAGGTAATTGCTGAAGAATGATCATTTGGCAAACAGTTTTTTTTTTTTTTCCTTTAAAAACAAAACCAGTTGATAAACTCATTTTGTTAAACAAACAGAAAAAAACCTTAAAAGCATAATATGAAAGGGTAAGACAAGATCTGGAACAGAGCCCATTGATCACTGAGTTGATGACATATCAGTGAGACTGTTAGGTAATGCTGCCTTTGCACTCATGCTCTAATCAAATGTAATGTGTTCATGCTTTAGGTTCCTCTTCACATCAGGTCCTTGCATTCTCAAATACGGCAGCCTTCTGAAAGGCTGATTTTCAAGCCAAATATTCTTTACTTTTCATATAATTAAGAGTATTACCCTCCCTGTCTCTCTTATTCCTTTCTATAGAGCACCAATTTTTTTTTTAACAAATATCTTTTATGATTTTTTAAATTCTTTTTTTTTAAAGAGATTTATTTGAGTGAGAATGAGAGAGAGAGAGAGGACATGAGAGGGGGGAGGGTCAGAGGGAGAAGCAGACTCCTCGCTGAGCAAGGAGCCCGATGCGGGACTCGATCCCAGGACTCCAGGATCATGACCCGAGCCGAAGGCAGTCGCTTAACCAACTGAGCCACCCAGGCACCAATTAATATCTTGAGTGGAACATTGACATACAGATTGGAGAAGGCTTTTAAAGGTGATACCCTTCCACGGCCAAACCATTCTGAAGAAAGACTGAGGTTCAAAATACTAAGAGCGTATGTGTGTATAGCACAAGAGTATTGTAGTGCTTTCCTCTTGCCGCTGTAAAAATTACCATGAATATAATGGCTTAAAGCAATGGAAACTTATGATCTTATAGTTCTGAAGGCCAGAAATCTGGCAGAAAGCTAGTCAGAAAAATCTCAAAGTTCTTGGAGATTAAACAACACACTTCCAAATAACATGGGTCAAAGTCTCGAGAAATAAAAATGTTTTGAAAATACAACTGGACAAAATTTGTGGGATGCAGTGAAAGCTCTTAGAAGGCAATTTATAACATTGAATAGATACATTAGGAAAAGAGATATAAAATGGTTAATTTAAGCTTCCACCTTAGGAAACTAGAAAAAGAAGAGTAAATTAAATCCAAAGTAACCAGAAGAAAAGAAATAAAACAGCAAAAATCAGTGAAATTGAGAACAGGAAATCAACACAGAAAAATCAAGGAAACAAAAAACTGATTCTTTGAAAAGATCAATAAAATTGATAACCTCTAACCAGGTTATCTAAAAAAAAAAAGGACTCAAATTACTAAAATTAGGAACAAGAGATGTGCCATCACTACAGATCCCATGGACATTAAAAGAACAGTAGGGCGCCTGGGTGGCTCAGTTGATTAAGCGACTGCCTTCGGCTCAGGTCATGATCCTGGAGTCCTGGGATCGAGTCCCACATCGGGCTCCCTGCTCAGCAGGGAGTCTGCTTCTCCCTCAGACCCTCCCCCGTCTCATGCTCTGTCTCATTCTCTCTCTCAAATAAATAAATAAAATCTTAAAAAAAAAAAAAAAAAGAACAGTAAACAACTCTATGCCCACAAACTTGATAACTTAGATGAAACTGACCAATTCCTTAAAAGACGAAATATACCAACACACACACAGGGAGAAATAATCTGAATACACCTGTATCTATATTAAAGAAATGGAATCATTAATTAATAGCCTTTCAAAACCAAAAGCAGCAGACCCAGATGGATTCACTGGTGAATTTTACCAAACATTTAAGAGAGAAATTATACCAACTCTCTATATTCTCTTCCAGGAAATAAAAGCCAACATTACCTTAATTAATTACCAAACCAGACAAAGCCATTACAAGAAAGAAAAACTATAAGCCAATATCTCTCATGAACACAGATTTAAAAATTTGCAGCAAAATGTTAGCAAATTGAATCCAATAACATATAAAAATAATTATACGCACTACCAAGTGGGATTTATTCCAGGTGTACTAGTTTGGTTCAACATTGAAAAATTAATGTAATCCATAACATCATTATGCTAAAGGAAAAAAGTCATGACCATATCAGTAGAATGAGAAGAGGCATTGGACAAAATCCCCATTTATGAGATAAAGGAAAACTTATTCATGATGAAACCACTCCTAGTCAGCATTGGACTAAAGTCCTGGCTAATGCAATAAGACAAGAAAAGAAAATAAAAGGTATACAGATTGGAAAGGAAAAAACAAAACTATTTGCAGATGATATGATTGTTTATGTAGAAATTTCCAAAGAATTGACAGGAAAACTTGTGGAACTAGTAAGTGAGTGTTGATATCTGTAAAATAACTTTTTTTTTTTTTTTTAAAGATTTTTATTTATTTATTTGAGAGAGAGAGAATGAGAGAGAGCACATGAGAAGGGGGAGGGTCAGAGGGAGAAGCAGGCTCCCCGCTGAGCAGGGAGCCCGATGCGGGACTCGATCCAGGGACTCCAGGATCATGACCTGAGCTGAAGGCAGTCGCTCAACCAACTGAGCCACCCAGGTGCCCCATCTGTAAAATAACTTGCTGGAATTTTGATTGAGACTTCATTGAATCTATAGATCAGTTGGGAAGAACTGACATCTTAACAATATTGAGTCTTTATGAACATAGAATATCTCTCCATTTATTTAGATTTTTTATTTCTCACATGAGAGTTTTGTAGTTTTCCTCATATAGTTCTTGTACATATTGTACATACCCAAAGATTGCAGAGGTTTTGGTGCTAATGTAAATGATACTGTTTAATTTCAAGTTCCAATTTGTCATAGTTGGTATATAAGAAAGCAGTTAATGTTTGTATATTAACTTTATATCTTGCAACCTTGCTATAAACTGATCCTGAAACTTACATGGAAAGGCAAAAGACCCAGAATAGCCAACACTATACTGAGGAAGAATGAAGTCATAGGACAAACACTCTTTACTCAAAGATTATAAAAGCTAAAGTAATCAAGGCAGTGTGATATTGGCAAAAGCATTGTTTCTTGGCCTTTTCAATGGGAAGGGCTAGGAACTTTTTTTTTTGTTTTTTTTTTTAAGATTCTATTTATTCAGAGAGAGTGAGTAGGGGGTGGTGCAGAGGGAGAGAGAGAATCTCAAGCAGACTCCATCCTGAGTGTGGAGCCCAACGTGGGGCTGTATCTCACCACCCTGAGATCATGACCTGAGCTGAAATCAAGTGTCGGACACTCAACCAACTGAGCCACCCAGGCACTCCAGGAGCATTTTTAAGACAAAATACGCCATGAGTTCAGGCTGAAACTTTCAATTCAAGTTCAGGTCTATTGGCTATTTAGCCTCATTGATCTTATATCTACATCTCTTTTTAACCATTAAAAAAATGTGTTTTCTTTATTGTACAAAAACAATGTTATCACCAACAATATGGCTTCTGAAAACACTTAAAATTTTTTTTTGCAGTTATTATCATTAGGGTATATCTCACTGGGGATATTTAATCAAATTACTGTGTCTTTAAGTCTCCTGGAGTAGCTCTTTATGTGTAGTTATGCTGCCAACTGGGTATACAGGTTTACTTTTACTTTGGGATATTAGAATTGCTTCATTCATTTATTGAATTTTATTTTAAATTATGTAATATATGTACATTGTTCCAAAGTGAGTTCTACAAACAATATATATTCAAAGAAGTCTGCCTTCTATCCCTGTCGCTTCAATCCTTCATTCCCCATATAAATAATATGGCTTATTCTCCATTGTTTTTATCTTAATAGTAGGAAATACACACATGAATACCTTGATATGCCATTTTTTTTTCAAAACACAAATATGCCTACTATGTATGAAGTCTCCACCTAACCTCTCACATTTTAGCAATAATGACTTTTAATACTTTATAGAGCTTTTTTTTTGCTATTGCTCTGTGGAGAGACACAAAGAAAGGAAAAGGAGGGGAGGTTATCATTTCCAGAACTTAGGCACCTTGGGACAGTGGCCAAGGTGACTTTATTAGTCATGATTCTGGGCTGCCCTGCTTGATGAGTTGGAAGGTCAAGGTTGCCTGGAAAGGTGTGAGAATCATTCCAGGAGTCTGGCCAAGTTATTCTGAGCCAGGCTGGTTGGTTCCCTCTAACCCAGTCTCTCCAGCTTAATTGTGCCTGTTATCCTTCAGCCCCCATCTTCCCTCCTCTGGGAAGAAAGGGAAAGAAGAGTGAAGAGGTATTGCCCAACCCCTGGTACCTTCTGTGGGGCAAAAGCAAGTCAGCTTATGTGCTCACTGAAAGTCCCTTCTCTCCATCTTACTACTTCCATGATTGGAAGAACCCGTCCTCCGAAGAATGCTGAGGGCGTCTTACTCTAAAACATTAGGAACCTCAAAGTGCAGGTTGGGAAAATAAGGATTGTTTCCTTCCAGTTATAGCAAAGAGCATTTACTTCTGAGTGGGATCTTAGGCATTTCCTATGGGAAGATAAATGAAGACACACACCAGAGCCCAGGACTGTCCTGCTGGCTCCCCTGGGGAGGGGAGGTGGTGTTCTCTGTGCCCCTCCAACCCCCTCCCTCCTGTGGAATTTTGCTTGCACAAGGGAAACAAAGCATCCTGGACAGAAAGTGTTTTTTATCTGTGTGTATTGTCAGAGACCGTGTCAAACCTGACTTCAACTAAGAGAACTGTTCATTGAAGAGAAAATTCTGTTTTCTCTTTTTAAAAATACGTTCTATGCAGGAGCGTAAAGGAACTGTCTACAAGCGTCAGGATAATGAGTAAACATGACATCGTTATGTTTAATGATAGCAGCATGAACATTTATCGTTTACTGTGTGCCCTGCACAGCTGATTCAATCACTAGCACTAATGAGTTTCATTTTGCCTATGAGGATGGGGAGCTCAGAGAAATTTAAAAAATTGCTCACCGTCTTTCATTTAGGGAGTAGCTGTGTTAGCATTCAAAACTGGTTTTCTTTTTCTTATCTGTCCTCCCTCCCTCCCTCCCTTCCTTCCTTTCTTCCTACCTTCCTTCCTTTTTTTAAACAACCAAAGGCCATATTTCTGACAGTGACACCTCCTGCCTTTGGTGAAAGCTCTGAAGGGTGCCAGAAAGAAAACTGATGTGAGAAGTAACTGGAAGTGAGAATTTCAAGTTGAATGGGACGAACCTGGGCAGTTAGTAACATACTTCACCTTTCTGCTCCTTGAATTGTTACCTGAAAGAACTGCAGGAAAACAAGTTCCCCAAACTGGGATCTCCACTGGGTGCACCAACCTCTCTCTCCCACAAGAGGTCAGTAAAATCCTCTTGGTGAAATGAAGACCCGGTCCAGCCGTTGGCCACTCCCCGGCTTACCAGTGGGGCAGTAAGGATCCGTCCATTTTTGAAGGGACCTCTGACCTTCACATAGGCTCTTCTCTGTCTTGCTGAGTTCACCTGACACCTGAACTCTATCCTCACGCTACCATGTGGTGTGAAACAAATGCAGTGAGCACAAAGGTTCAATTCATTCTCTACTTTTAAAGTGATGTTTTTGTTAAAAATTGCTGAGATATTGGGGCGCCCGGGTGGCTCAGTCAATGAAGTGTCTGCCTTCCGCTCAGGTCATGATCCTGCAGTCCCGGGATCGAGCCCCCAGTCGGCTCCCTGCTCAGCGAGGAGTCTGCTTCTCCCTCTTCCTCTGCTACTCCCCACCGGCTTGTGCTCTCTCTCTCTAATAAATAAAATCTTTTTTTTAATTGCTAAAATATTATTACATACTAATTATAAAATATGATTACAAGTTATTTCTTAAAATTCTATATCTTGTAATTCTAGTATCTGAATAAGTATTTTAGAACAAGAGATGACATGTCTAAAGCAATAATAATATGTTTAACACTTACGGAGTACCTTCTAGGGCACTGTGGTTTATGCTTTATGTGGCATTTGAGCCCCGGCGGTCTGGCCTGCATCTCTGCCTGTAGCCTCTGTACCATCCTGCCTCTCTGCCGGAGACACAGACATCCGTGTCTTCTGTGGTTCTGCAAGAGGAATTTTCAGGTGGATAAGCTAATACAGACATTGAATTAGGTGGCTCAAGATCTTATGGGGTCTTGGAACTTATATAATTTAGGATACCTTCTTTAGAAAAACAATAAGAGTTATACATAAAAAGGTAGACATGAAAGTAAATTTTTATTTAGAATGAGAAAATAAATCACAGCAAATCATAATTAGAAAAAAAGACTACAAACATCTCCAGATCTAGGGGAAAAAAAGCATATTTTCATGAAGGAACTGGCTGACGTATCTAATGTTCTCCCCTCAAATCTTGACAGGAGAGAACGTCCATTTTGACGAGGTGTGAATGAGAACCGATTCTTTGGTTTTCCATTGACATGTGTGACGATTGGAGGAATTTGTCACAAGCCAGCTTCTGGCTACATTCATTTCAAGCCATTTTCTCCGCATACCCCACGCATTTCAGGACGTGAGCATACTGTGGTACCCTCTTTGGCCTTGCTCCTTTGCATCACAACACCAGGACCAAGAGAGATGGCAATGTTCCTAGAAGCCATGACTATACCAGGATGGCTTTGCAATAACATGGGTTACTGCAAGCCACATCAGTGTATCCAACTCAATGCCAAATAAATGTATCTTTAATGTATCCTCATCTGCCTCATCTCAAAAATGCAGTGGCTACCGCATGGCCACCTGACACAGAGAAGTGAAAGAAAAGTGGAAATGGAAACAGAAAGTGGTCTTACCAGGTTGCAGTGAAAATATATCATTTTTGCCCATTTTAGAAACAACGTGACTGAATGATCACACTGTTGGGACCCTTCCCAGGCGTTGGACCAGGCCTGTGTAGTGAGAGCCCCGCAGCTTAAGCTTCTTTGGTTTTAGGGTATATCCCTCTATACACATCCTTAGAAAGCTCAGCCACGGCCCAGCCTTGCCGACCTCTCGAAACACACAGCAGAGAAACGATTGCAGCCCGCTGCCGGCAAGACCATGTTCGCTTGGTGACAGCACCTCTCCAGTGGTAGGCAGACAAGTCCCAGGACTTCTCCGCACTTCCTATATTGCAGTCTCTGCTTCGGACCAAGTGCGTTTGCGGGGGGGCCGGGAGCCTGGGTCTTTGTATCAGTAAGAAAGATCCGGGGACGTCCACAGCACAACAGAAGTGAGTGTGCAACTGAGACCTAAGATTAGACAGTCTTCTCGTGTCAATTACCACTTTTCCCAAGACTCGGTAGTGGTAAAAGCTTTGTTCATACTTTTCCCTTGGCTTAAAACCTTCTCTGTCCAGCACACATCGCACATTCCGACCTGAGCCACGAAGCCTTCCCAGCAGCCCCGAGGCCCAGGGATCTCTCCTCTCTCCGAACTCCTACACGTTTTAACAAACAATTCCCGCAACAAATACTTGTTAAGTGCCCATTCTGGACTGGCCTTCAGTTAAATCTGAGTGGCTTGCTTACGAAGCATTTTATGTGAGTCCATCTCTGTTTAGCTAGATTATAAACAAATTGGTGACAGGGACCAGGGTTTCTTGTTGGCCTATCACAGCTCTGGGCACGTCAGCCCTGAATAAATACTTACTTGATTGATGCGGTTCTGTCTCCTCTCTGAGGACCAAACCTCTTGGCAGCTTCCTCTGAGCTGGCCTGGAGACTCCCTACCTGGGTGGAGAAGGTAGAGTTATCTTTTGAAGAAATTCAGATGGAGTCCCCCTCCCTCAACTTTGCTAATGGGCTCTTATAGATACTCTGCAGCTCAATATTTGAAGCTTTTCCTCTCCAGTAAACTGGTTAGATATTTTGACTTTTGACAGGATGGTAGTCCAAATCGAGCTACCGACCCCCCACTCCCACCCCCAATGTCTTACTTTGTGAGGTATCCAGGTTTGAGGGCACTGGGGCCCAGAACCAACTCGGGATCCCGTAATTGCGGGTGGGCATGCTACATGCTGGCACTTCTGACCTTCACTTGTCCTGTTTCTGTCCTGGGAGGCAATGTAGAAAGTAGGAAAAGCAGACTCGAGGCTCCCTCTGACCTGGTTTCAGTGCTGGCCCTGCCCTCACAGGCTGTGGGAGCCCTTAGCCAAGTGCCCTCCCCGCCCCGGCCTTGCTCTCCTCTGGAAATGGAGAACATTAACAGAATGCATGACATCAGGGGGCCGTGGAATTTATATATGCAAGGATTCTGGGTGATTGTTGGAGTTCCGTTTTCTCTGTGCAGGTTCTCTTCTCTGTCTCCCAAATCCTGTCCCGTAAATTGGTGCAGCCACTATGGAAAACAGTGTGGAGATTCCTCTAAAAATTAAAAATAGACCTACCGGGGCGCCTGGGTGTCTCAGTTGGTTAAGTGTCGGCTTTCAGCTCAGGTCATGATCCCGGGGTCCTGAGATCGAACTCTGCATTGCAGGGGGCTGGGGGGGCTGTCTCTGCTCAGCAGGGCATCTGCTTCTCCCTCTCCCTCTGCTCCTCCCCCACCCCGTTCGCACCCACTCTCTCTCTCTCAAATAAATAAAATCTTAAAAAAAAAAAATAGACCTACTATAGGATCCAGCAATTCCCCTTGGGGTATTTATTGGAAGAAAATGAAAATCGAAAAGATACTCACCCCCATGTCCATTGCTGCATTATTTATAATAGCCAAATTATGGAAGCAACCCAAGTGTCCACTGACAGATAAATGGATAAAGAAGATGTGGTTTATATATATAAAATGGAATATTACTCAGCCATAAAAGACAATGAAATCCATTTGTGACAACATGGATGAAACTCGGGGGTATTATGCTAAGTGAAATAAGAGAAAGATAAATACCATGTGATTTCACTTATATGTAGAATCTCAAAAACAAAACAAATGAACAAACAAAACAAAACAGAAATAGACTAAAAAATACAGAGAACAAACTGGTGGTTGCCAGAGGAGAGAGGAGTAGGGGGAATGGGCAAAATAAGCGAAGGGGATTAAGAGGTACAAACTTCCAGTTATAAACTAAATACATCAAGGGGATGAAAACTACAGCATAGGGAATATATAGTCAATAACACTGTAATAACTTTGTATGGTGACACATGGTAACTAGACTTATCATAGTGGTTTTTTTTAAGATTTTATCCATTTATCTGACATAGAGAGAGAGAGATAGTGTGAGAGACAGCACAAGCAGGGGGAACAGCAGAGGGAGAGGGAGAAGCAGACTCCCCGCTGAGCAGGGAGCCCGACGTGGGACTTGATCCCAGGACCCTGGGACCATGACCTGAGCCGAAGGCAAACACCTAACTGACTGAGCCACCCAGGCGCCCCTCACGATGATTTTTTAATGTATATAAATATTGAATCACTATGTTGTACACCTGAAAGTGATGTAATATTGTACATCAACTATACTTCAATTAAAAAAAAAAAAATCCTGTCCCTGTAGATGTCCTTGTCCAGACAAACACCTGCATTGTCTAAATTTGGCCCTACCCCAAGCTCCACAGCTACTAAAGTTTCTTCTCTCTTATCCTAATGATGGGACTTGTATGGGGACCCAGTAGCAGGTTTGGTACTTTTAGGAAGGGGTTCTGTTTAGTCCTTTTCTATGACTGAAGAGTAGTCTTGTCCAGAGAACTGGAAGTGCCAAGACTTCCAGGAACTTATCTCCCCTCCTGGCACAGGGTGGGCATCCAACTCCAATGGGTAATTTTCAGAAATAAAGGAGTATTATCTGATTTTTAGGAAACTTAAAATTTTTTACTTTACTAATTTAATTTAAGATCTGAGCTTATGAGGCTTTGCCATTTGCTGGGTCCTTATCTATGTCTTAAGTCAATGAGGATCCATTTGAGTAATCTCTCAGTGTCTCATCTTCCTCATCTGTAAAAGGGGCATATTCATGATACCTGCCTGACAGGGGAGGTTTGAGTAATTGTCTTTCCCATGTCGATACAAGGCAACTCTCCCTTTCCCATTGCCAGATCCAAAAGCTTAGTGTCAGTCATCCTTGATTGATTTCTTTCCCTTTCTCCTTCCTTAACTCCAACCTGTCAGCAAATCCTGTTGGCTATACCTTGAAGATTGAATCTGACTGCTTCTTCCTGCGTCTACTGCTAACCTGGGCAAAGCCACACCCTCCTGTCGGATTCTGACAAGTTTTATCTGTCTGACCTCTACTGCTGCCCCATTTCAGCCTATTCTTCACATTACCACTAGAGTGATCTTTTTAATGTCTCGGGGCTCAGGACCCTCCAAAAGCTTTTCACCTCACTCAGACCAAAAACCAACAACAGAATCCTTCCATGCTATGGGCCAAATGCATCCTCCCTCTCATCACTAACCCCACCCCGCCCCCTGGCGGCAGCACATGGGACTCCTTTCTCTTTGTTGAAAGTTTCAAACACCTTTCTACCCCAGGGCCTTAGCATTTGCTGTTCCCTCTCTCTAGAATGCCCTTCTCATGAATATTCACAGAGCTCACCCCCAACTTCTTTTAGGCATCTGTTCAAATGTCTCCTTACTAGAGAGGCCTTTCTAGATGACTCTGTATCGTATAACAGACCCCCATCCCTACTTACTCTGGTCCCTTCACCCTATCATATTTTCTTGTTTACTATTTTTCTCCCCCAACCAGAACATAAATTCTGAGGGTAGGGCCTTTGACCCTCCTGGTCACTTCTGGATTCTCAGTGTTCATAAAAGTGTCTGGCACATCATAGTAGGCATTCATTAAGTATGTGTTGAAAGATTCGGTTAAGTGAAATTGCTTCATAAATTAAAGAGAATATACAAAAGGGAGCTGTCACCAATGTGACCAATAGCTAAGCAACATCTATTGTTTCCTATAGCCAATCGCCCTATTATGGGTTTAGCAATTGTTAGTATCTCGTTTAATCCCACAACAGTGTGAGAGATACCTATGATTATTTTTTAGTCAAAGAAATTATTTTCTTAGTAACTTAGATATTGATGGAGAAGGGAAAATAGTTACCAGTTGGTTAAAATGCTACAGACTCACACATAGGGTGACTCGTGCCGACCTTGCTTCTGTGTCCTCAAAGCAACTCCTGTGAGCGATGCTGGGCTCGGTGTGAGGACAAGATACTGGGTAAAGCGAACCATTTTCTCCAAAACACGCTGAACTCTCATTTCACTCGCCCTTCTCCCCTCCTAATCTTCTAATCACTTTATTGCTGGGAAAAAGGCCAAGTAGGGAAAATCCTGCTGGCAGCCCGGGAATTCTTGAACTGAAGAGGCCTTCGAGGTCATTTGCCTGCCCGCTTCTTTTGACCCAGGAGGAAATTCAGCCCCCTGCAAGGCGATTTCCCAACAGCTCGGTGTTACTTTTTACTTTTCTTAACCCAACTTCTTGTCCAAAGCTCAGATGAATCGTATATTCCGTCGATGTATCTCGGACCCTGTCAGCTAGTTGATGATTTTAAGGGACAAGGAGCCACACTTGCTCTATTTTTGCTGACTTCTTTTGACAAAACTGAGCTCAGTTGGATCCTTTTAAAAATATGTGGGACCCCGTTATTCTCTTGAGTGATTCATGGGCATCTGTTCTGGTGACAGCAACACAATAACATATTTGGCTACACGAAGCACTGGGGTTTCACCATACGTATGGAGATATCTCTTCCCAAAACCTGCTGCCGGAATATCACAAATCAGAAATCCCAATCTCGAGTGGAAAATATTCCTGGAAAGATTTGTAAGCAGTAGGCAAGACAGCTTTGCTCAGAAGAGAAGGTCAAAACTTTTCTTCCTCAGGACGCCTGGGTGGCTCAGTCGGGTAAGCATTGGACTCTTGATTTTTGGCTCAGGTCATGATCTCAGGGTCATGAGACTGAGCCGCCGCCGCCCCCCCCCACCTGTCGGGTTCCACCCTCAGTGCATACTCTGCTTAAGATTCTCTCTCTCCCTCTCCCTCTGCCCTTCCCCCCACCCCCACAAGCCCTTTCTCTCTCTCTCTCAAAAAAATTATTCTTCTTCATATGTGAACTATACAAGAAAACAAGAAAGGCAAAGACTGAAGGCAATCTTCTAATAATGATTTCTTTTCTCATCTTCATTTTTATTAGCCCAAGAAATATTGTTTTATTTCAAAATGTGTGCTTGCCGTTGTCATCACTGAGTAAATTAAAAACAATTATAAAATGTATCTTATGTTTTTTCCAGAATTCCTTCTGACTGTAGAAACAGGAACATATCCTAATTTCCCATAAAATGCCAGTATCAGCATAACATATTAGTACCAAGCGGTGCCACTCCATTATGCCTTTCCTGGGCCTCTCGCTAAAATATTATTTTAAAAAGACATTCGGAGTTGCTTCTGGTGCCAAGTAGGTGCTGCCTGGATATTCTGTGATGATGATGAACAGCCTTCTAAGTGCATGTACTGAGTTTAAGAAACATAACACCACAGCACGTAAAATCACATGCCAGATCTCACAGAGCTGCCAAATCACATCCGCCCCTATCTCTCTGGATGATCCTTCCCCAAAATATAGGCCTGGCATCTTGCCCTGAACATCAGCCAACTGGACATTAGCAGACCAGGGCAGAGAGGGAAATCCAGATATGTTCCCCTATAAATCTCAGCCAAAGCCAAATCTTGATCATCTGTGGTGTTTGTGGGCAGTGGAGGAAGGCGCTGTGGGGTGTGAGTAAGTAGAATTTGCAGATAAACCTAAATCTTATTTTAGACAATCAGAGAAAACATAACTTCCAAATTCTCTGCTTTTGAATGCACCAATGAAATGGGTAACAAGTAAAGACGATTATACTTGGAGTCTCTTGAATCTAGTCAGTTTGCTTTCTGGGTGAGGTGCTGATAAGAGGTAAAATAGCTAAGCAGTGTGTCCTCAAGTAGGCTTGCAAAAGCCGGGACGCCTCAGGAGTTTCCAGTCTGGAAAATGAGTCCCCGGATAATTGAGAGTTAACTATAGTACTGATTTCTTTTGTAATTACCCCCGAGTTAGCTTCTACTGTGTAAAGGGCATAAGCCAGCTGCAGAGATTAAATTTTTATCCAGAGG